CATGACAAGTCTTCATCAATATGTCAATGATAGAGTACAAGTGTAATAAATATCGAAAAAACTGATTCTATTTTTTGTTTTTCTTGACAGTTTTCTTTGATTCTTGAAAGATATTATCAAAGGAAAAAGAGAAATATCATTAACAAAATGAATGACAGGTCTATTAAAGCAAGGCTCTTATTTTGAATTCCATATCTTGTCTTTTTTTTTCTTTAAACTGATTTCATGATTCCATCATGTTTATAACATTCAGTGTCGATTAACAAATAAAATTTTGATTGTATTTATCTGTCATTAGATTTAAGCAAAATTCTCAATTTATATTTGTGCCGTTTTTGTTCTTCATTATCTTATTGCTAAAAAGAATAGACATATGACATAAAAAAAACGGCACTCTCTTTGATATCATTAGTCCTGTTATTTTCTTCGTCCATTATAGATGTTATTTGAAACGTCTAAACGGAAGAGTAGCTTTGTTGGCACCTCCAGTCATGCTGTTTATCGAACTATTTCATATCTCTGCAATGTATGTATCTAACATGCAATGCAAACTTATATAGGAGAGAGAAAAAGAGAGATGAATATTAGAAAAAGAGTTATAGAAGGAGAATAAGCAGAAAAAAATATGAGAAAAAAAGGAAATGAAGGTATTAGCACAAGAATGATATTGTGAGCGGTGAATTATAAAATATTTCAAAAACGATCATACAAAAAAATCATTTTCTTATTCAAGATAAATTATGGTCCCTGATTCCCAAACTCTCGTAAGTTAAAATAAATTGCTTCTTTTGTTTGTCAAGATAAGTCAATCTACTTATAGGTCTCCATAGGTAATATAACAAGTAATAGATCATCGTATCCAGAAACTTTTCGATATGCACTTGTTATTCATTATCTGAGTATCTATGCTCTTATACTTATTATAGTTGGTACTGTTGGTAATCTTTTAACAATAATTGTGTTATTTAGACGTAATCTTCGTCGTTTTGTAACTGTTCGTTATTTAATAGCTGTTAGTATATGTGATATTATATCATTATATGGATGGAATTTAAATAGTTTTTATAAATTTAATATTAGCCGTTCTCACGGTAATATTGAAGATATATCTCTTATTCATTGTCGACTTATTTCATTCATGACATTTGCTGCTTTGCAATTATCAAGTTGGTGTCTTACAGCTGTTAGTTTTGGTAAAATTAAAAAAATACGTGTTTTAATAAGTTTAACTATTTTTCTTTATTCATAGATCGTGCTCTTAGTCTTCTTTGGCTTCAATGGAAACAATCATTTGGTAGACTAAGATATACTAAATACTATATTATGTTTCTAGCCTCGATTTGTGTTGCACTTAATAGTCATATATTATTTTTAAATGGTTATCATAGACCATCCGGCACAATAGTATGTTACGCGACTCGTTCAAATTCTAATTATATTTATCCACAATGGGAACGTGTTCATTTGGTTCTTTATAATCTGTGTCCGTTTGCTATAATGTGTATTTGTAATACATATATTATTTTTGTTACTGTAAGATCAAGTCGAGCACAAGCTGGAGCAGAACCAAATCAAAATTATCGAAAAAATCTTGAAAAATATCGACAATTTACGGCTTTACTTATTATTGTAACATTCGCTTTCGTCATATTGACTCTACCTGCTTGTATCTATTTTGTATTTTTTCGTAATGCTTTTGCAGTAACAACGCCACGTAGTTATCGTTTTATGATTCAAATATTATTAAATTCCATTCAATTTACATCACATGGAATCAATTTTTTTCTTTATTGTTTTTCGGCATCAAGTTTTCGTCATGAATTATATGGAATGCTTCGAGAAGTTTTGTATAATTGTCATTGTATACGCTGTCGCTTTTTGAATACTACTAGAAAAAATTATCGTATACGACGTTATGATAAAAATGATAAAAACGCATTGCCTTTAGAACATCAACGAATGAATCATGCTTGAAATAACTTAATGAATCATATTAAATTTAATTTTCTGCTGGAATTCAGATCGACAATTGTCAACAACAAAACTCTGGATTTACAACAACCTGAAAAGATTAATCATCGAGGAAGAAAAAACACACTTGACGAATATATTGAATAGTTTGCGATTGTGATTGCTTTACATGTTTTTTTGTTGTTGTATTAATGTTTAATTATTGTTGTTTTGTTAAAAATAGAATGTCAATGTGATCTAATTGTATCAATAGTCATTCTATTTAGTGTGCAGTCTATTTTTGTTATCTAATTTAATAAAGTTATAAGCAATAACTAACGTGTAGTTTGGAGAATAGAGACAACTGTCGTATGTGGACGTTTATGCTTTCTTACAATAATCTGATTGCTTAGGTTTGACTGATAGTATCTATAATTTTTCTCAACATTATTTATCTTCAATTATAAAGACGTCAAATAATAATTAAAAGCAAATACCAAGAGAATACTTTTATTATAGTATGTAAATTAGGATGAACTTTCGAAGAAAACAGGAAGAAGTAGGGAAATCTTTTCTTCTGATTGTTTTCGAAAAAACTTAGAAATAGAAGATTTTTTAGTCTTGTAACTGATTTAGTAATTCGAAAAAACTCCAGATCAAAATAGCCTTTTTGTTGGAGACTGGCAGCTGCAAGAAATATCCGGTGTCGGAACTGAACTGTCAGTTTCGGTTTCGATTAGTAAAAACAGCAAAAACAATGTTTCTCATTTCGGCTTCGAAAAAGTATCTTTACAATCAGTGACCTAATTATAATATAGAAGATAACTTGTATAATAATATTTTTTTCTAGAAACTTTTAAGCTATATGTAACTTTTTGAGATTGTTCATGGCTATTATTTTTTCTGAAAAAGTGATTTCTTCGAAAGATAAAACAACAAAGAGAAAGAAAGAGAAAATCATCACTGTTAACTAACTGTATAGCCTTTTCGTTGATAAAGAATCAGATTGAGATTAAATTTTGTGCAAATATTGCGAGCGCCTAATTACATATAAAAAAGAATTTCAACTTTATATCTTATTCTTATCAAGAGCTAAGATAACTTGAATGGACTTATTTTATTATGTCTGTTGCATCTCCAATGGCATTCAATCAACTCGACTAAAACAAGTGATTCTTTTTCCTTTATTAAACACTAGACACTGAGATCTAGTAACTCTCGTAATTCTTTTTCTTGTTTCTTTTCTTGTGCTAGTCTTAATACATACATAAAGCCAAAAACGTCTCAATAAAGCTGAAAATTTTGTCGGAAAAGTCAAATTTCTATAAAATTTTATTCAAAGGAGAATATTTTTTTTTTTTGGTAAGACCACTTTTTCAAAAAATAAGCTTTTAAACAAGAAAAAAATTTGAGTTTATATCTTACTGTGGTACAAGACCACTGGAGACACGCTATCGAGCAACTGCTGTGAGAAAAAGAAGACAGCCTTCTTCTGTCAAAACGTTTATTTTTAGACGAAAAATCATCTTTTATGGCAAAAATCTTGCTTTTCTCCGGCACGAGGCTAAAAATCGTAACGCCCAAGAAATAAAAAAATGTCATTAAAATGATGAAACAGACAAAAAATTTGATGTATTTGAAGTGTATCAATTAAAATAGAGATTTTCATTAATTTAATTGTATGATTTTGATTAAAAATGAAATTCACTGCATTTACTTAATTAAAATGTTACTTTTCATCGATGATTTTGAAAAGCATTAATTTTTCTATGCGTTTCATCATCAAAGATGCCATTTTTTTGGTGCTTTTCAGATAAAATTCACGAAAGTCATGAATGTTTTTTCATTTTTTGACTTCATGGGTGTTTTTATAAAAGTGTACATCATGGTATGTAATCATACCTTTTGTGAAAAAGTGATTTTTCTGATGACGCTCGATTTTTTCAGAAGCCTTAATTAAACTTATTCCTATTTTTCAACTTTTTCTTCCATCAAATTGTAAGAAATACCCATAGTTGACGGATTGCACAATTATAGATCGAACATTTAAATTTTACATTGCATGCAACATTTGAACAGCTTCCCAAATATCACTAAAAAAATGTTCGGTTCCGAATAAGAAAAACTGGAAAACTTGGACTCTACTTTTTGTACAAATTTATTACGAGCGTCTAAAGATCAAAGATCATGACTGTGTTAATGGTTTGTATATAAAATATGCAGGATTTTTCTTAATAAAAAGTAAAAGCCAAGAAACATGTTTGCATATTGTCACATAAAATTGACTCAAAACAATTGTGTTTGTCATATTTTTAGTTGATTATTTTAGTAAATTGAATATAATAATGATACCATGAACTACAAAGTCATTTGATCGATTTTCCAGTAAGGAAATATTGATTCAATCTCTTCAGTTTTGAATCGTTGATTATGTCTTCATCATAATGATGGCAGGGAGAATTATTCGTAATTATCATAACTAATCTTTGATTATATTGATTTTCTTGTGGATGGCATCGAATTTAAATAAACAATTGTTGATTAATTATTGAAGTGATTATTGAATGGAAATCATTTATAAATTCAACAATTTGTTATAATATGAGCAGATGTTTTAATAAATTGATGCATTTCAAATGCTTGTACAACAATTGGTTTCAGATAATTTTCTAAACGTTTATCATATTTAATACAGACCTTTTTCCGTTGATTGAGGATACATGCAAGTTATCGTTTCGTTCTTACAGAATATAACCATATACTACAATTAGTATCAATGTATTCGATCACTAACTCCATCTGCAAGAAATCTTGACTTCAATGATTCTTAACAGTGGAATCCATTAACTAAACAAGAAATTTAATTGGTTTCCAACAAATTGTAAAATACCAAATCCAACAGACGTGGACAGATTTTCTTTCTTTGTTGGCATGTTATGTGTACCTTTTTGTATGAATCTCAATTATTCCACAATAATTCTTCTTTTTTCATTATCATTATTATTTTAGAACATCTCATTTGTTTATTTAACTTTCTCTCTCGTTAAAGCATGGTAATAATTAAATAGAATTTTTTTGACTCGAATTAATAAATACATTTATTTAGCCATTGCGCCTTGATGTCAAGCGCAAATTATCAGTTCGATCCGATCGTGTCAAATGTGTTGATATTCATCCAAATGAACCATGGATTTTAGTAACATTATTTAATGGTCATGCACATATTTATAATCATGAAACTCAAGTATATTTCTTATTTATATTTTTATCATAATCAAATCTTCTTCTTCTTCTTCGTTTTCATAGCAATTAATTAAAACTTTTGAAGTATGTGATGTTCCAGTTCGTGCTGGTAAATTTGTTGTTCGAAAAAACTGGGCAATTACTGCATCTGTAAGATCTTTTTTGTTTTCTAATTATTATTAACTTGTCACTTCATTTTCTTGCTAGGATGATATGCTTATACGAATTTATAATTATAATACTCTTGAACGTTTGCATCAATTTGAAGCACATAGTGATTATATACGTTCAGTTGCTGTTCATCCAACACAGTCATATATATTAACTAGTAGTGGTATGTGTTATTCTTTCCTTTTTTTTTTAAAATTTTGTTCATCATTCGGAATATTATTTTTCATCAGATGATATGACTATCAAATTATGGGATTGGGATGCTAAATGGGCATTAAAACAAACATTTGAAGGACATGTACATTATGTTATGCAAATAGCTATTAATCCAAAAGATAATAATACATTTGCATCAGCATCACTTGATCGTACTGTCAAAGTAAAATAAATGAAATTAATTATTTAGTTTATTTTATATTTAACATTAAGGTATGGCAATTAGGATCAAGTCAAGCAAACTTTACTCTTGAAGGACATGACAAAGGTGTTAATTGTGTCGATTATTATTCAGGTGGTGATAAGCCTTATCTTGTTTCTGGTGGTGATGATCGTCGTGTAAAAATTTGGGACTATCAAGTAATTCTTTGTCTAATTGTTTTCTCAATTTAAAAGAATAATCGGATCTTCTTCTTTTTTTTGTAGAATAAAACATGTGTACAAACATTAGAAGGACATTCACAAAATGTTGGCTGTGTTGCATTTCATCCTGAATTACCTATTATACTAAGTGGATCAGAAGATGGTACTGTAAAACTGTGGCATTCAAATACATATCGACTTGAATCAACACTTAATTATGGTCTTGAAAGATGTTGGGCTATAGCATGTTTAAAAGGATCAAACAATGTTGCGCTTGGATATGATGAAGGAACAATGATGATTAAAGTATTTTGATTTGATAAATAAATTTAAAAAATAAATAAATTTTGATTATTTTTAGTTGGGTCGAGAAGAACCAGCTATGTCAATGGATGCTTCAACTGGTAAAATTGTTTGGGCTAAACATTGTGAAATTCAACAAGTTAATTTAAAACAATTAAATAGTGATCAACAACTAAAAGATGGAGAAAAAGTACCATTAAATGTTAAAGAACTAGGCAGTTGTGAAATATATCCACAAACATTATCCCATTCACCAAATGGAAGGTAAAATTAAATTTATAGTTTTTATTTTTCATCGTTTCTTTTTGTTTTTATTTTATTTTCTTTAGATTTGTTGTTGTTTGCGGCGATGGAGAATATATAATTTATACAGCAATAACATTACGTAATAAAAGTTATGGAAATGCTATGGAATTTGTTTGGTCAAACGATTCATCAGAATATGCTATACGAGATGGAAATATGGTTAAAGTTTTTAAAAATTTTAAAGAAAAAAAAACATTCAAACCAGAAGCTGGAGCTGAAGGTATGATAATTTTATCAATGTTTCAATAGATATCAAAAGTTTAGTGACTTTATATTAGAATATAGAGATTTCGATGATCCTTATCAATAAGAAATTTGTTTGAACAGAAATTTAACTGTCTTCTTTGCTATTATTTTATACTACTAAAGGACATTTTAGAAGATCCTCTCTGAGAATCGTTTTTTGTAGAAATCACTTCTGCAGGTTATTGCGGTTATTTTAGTATTCATATCCATTACAAATATTTCAGTTCAGTATGGATAATATTTTGCTTCCATTGTCATAGAGACGCATCAGTTCTAAGTGAGAAAAATCTTGAAAAGAAAAATCTATTGAAAAATGCGTTTCTTTAAGGAAAACATATCGCAAAGTCACTTTAGTGCTCGTTTGCAGCATAATCTGAAAAGATTCTTTAGATTCCCACGTCCAATTATTTTCATATTATTAACACGTTACAATAATTTTCGATGATTTCTAGTACTGAAAATAAATTTTTCTCGTCTAGATGTAAGCAATCAATTTTTGAAATTACAACCATATCTAAGAAAAGGATGATATTCGAATTTAAATAATGACGAAAATCTCTTCTATACTTCAAAAATCATCAGAATTTTGCGAGACTTTGAAATACTCAATTATTTCTTCGAATGGTTTCAGATACATTTCCAAATTCAATCCAGTTTTTGTTACGCTATCAGTCTTATCATTAATTAATTTTAGATGTTGTTCGATTCAACGTGAGATAATCTCTGATATATTCTAGAATTTGATAGAAATTCGTAAAGATAATTTGATGATTTATGAATATTAACATTTATCTTATTTTAAAAACTAAAGAAATAGTTCTATTTAATACACAGTTCAATATTATTTTTTTTCTTTTTAGGTATTTTTGGTGGTAATCTTTTGGGTGTTAGATCATATTCAGGTTTAACATTCTATGATTGGGAAACATTAAGTTTGATTCGTCGAATTGAAATTGTACCAAAACTTGTACGTTTAATTTACTTTTCATTATTAGACATATTTCTGTAATATTTCTAACAGATCTATTGGAGCCAAAATGGTGAAATAGTTTGTATTGCAACAGAAGAATCTTATTATGTTCTTCGTTATAATCCTCAAACCGTGGTTGCTGCATCTACAAATAAAGATCTTAAGTCTGAGGATGGTATCGAAGATGCATTCGATGTAAATTTCACAATATCATTTCTTTAGTCTTTTTCTTATATTCAAAAAATAATTTTTTAGGCACTAAGTGAAATTTCTGAAATTGTAAAAACAGGTGTATGGGTTGGTGACTGTTTTATTTATACAAATTCTCTTAATAGAATAAATTATTATGTTGGTGGTGAAATTGTAACGATTTCACATTTGGATAGGTAATGACAAAAATAAAACCACATGCAATTTACTATTGTTTCATTAATTTTTATTAATTTTATTTAGAGTTATGTATTTACTAGGTTATGTATCAAATGAAAATCGTTTATATTTGGGTGATAAAGATATGTCTATTGTATCATTTGAATTATCCTTATCAGTTCTTGAATATCAAACAGCTGTTATGCGAAAAGATTTTGAAACAGCTGATCAAGTTCTTCCAACTATTCCAAAAGAACAACGAACACGTGTTGCACATTTTCTTGAAAAACAAGTTCGAAAAATTTTTTTTTTCATGTAGTTTACATTAAATTCATTATTTTTAGGGTTATCGTCAACAAGCATTGGCAGTTACACTGGATAATGAACATAAATTTGATTTAGCTCTTCAACTAGGAAATTTTCAAGTTTGCTATGAACTTGCCATTGAATTAGAGAATGAACAAAAATGGTTACAATTATCTGAGGCTGCTACAAAACAAGGAGAATTTTCTTTAGTAGAAGAATGTTTAACACGTGCACAAGCATTTGGTTCACTTATTCTTTTAGCAAGTGCATCAAGTAATAAACAATTGATGTCAAACATTGGTGAACAATCAAGAAAAGTTGGACAATTTAATATTGCTTTTCTATCAAACTTTGTCTTGGGAAAATTAGATCAATGTTTAGATATTCTTATTGAAAATCAACGTCTACCAGAGGCAGCATTTTTTGCTCGAACATATCTTCCATCACAAATAAATCGTGTTGTTGGATTATGGAGAGAAAAATTAAAACAAATGAATATGGAACGTTCGGCGCATGCATTAGCAAATCCAACTGATTATGCAAATCTTTTTCCTGGTCTTATTGATACTTACAAAACAGAACAGTTTTTAAAACAAAATATGAAATCACAATCAGCTAGAAATTATCAAACACTTCTAGTATGAAAATTTGTGTTTGTGTGAAAAGATTTTATTTGAAGTTTTCTTTTTGCTAGCCGAATTGGGAGAGAAATCCGATTACTGAAATGAAAGAAGCAGAAGATCATGGACAGTTTTCTTATATGCAAATGCAATTAAACAAAGAAATAATAGATAATAATGATGATGATGATGATGAAGAAAGTTTTGATGATGCAAATGAAACACCAACACAAGCAACAACTAAGGTTTAAAATGAATATTGATTATTATTGATTGATCTAATTTTTTTTCTTTTTAGACAACGGCAAATTCATTAATAGGTAATAAATTAATTGTATCTGTCAATGGCGATCGATCTTGTTCACGATCTCCAACAAATAGTTCTGCTGTTTCATCTCATAAACCAACAACAGTGCCATCTGCCATTAGAGAAGCATCAGTGAAATCTACAGCATCGAGTATTATATCTATAGCTACCACAGTTGGTAGTGCTAGTCAAACATCTTTAAGCGATTTTGATAAAGAGCTACAAGAGTTTGATTTCGATTTTGGCAAAGATGATATTGATGATAATGAAAATGGTCCATTAGTATCGAAACAACCTTTTAAACAAACCACTGATGAGAATGAGGTAAAAACGTAAAAGTTTATTAATATTGCATAACATATTATTGCACGGCAACTAGCAATGCATGCACATATATTCTTTTTATTTGATGTTTAGGGAATAAACTAATATGATAATAATACTATATAATTTGTATCTATTTAATCTATTTTCAATATTTAGAATCTTCGATTCGATGATGACGATGGTGAGGATTTTCTCCAAGAGACATGAAAAATACTGTGATATATATATATATTTATATATATATGTATCGAATAATGTCTATGGTATTTCATTTATTTAGACACGTCAACATATGTCTTTTTCTATTTATAACATGTCATTATTCTCTTTTTTATCATTAAATATGTATGTTATTTATTTGGTTGTTTCTTTTTTTCTCTTGACTTGTTTGATCTGAAATAAGCAAAGCATCTTTATGGATCAATTCGCTTTAGCTCTTTTTTTTCTCTCATTTTTTTATTGTGGAAGCATGCGTCTAATTTAAGTTCTTTCTTTTTGTTCATTCAATCTTGTTACTATGGAAAAAAACTCAGTATTTGTCTGTATGCATTGATAGTTTTGTTCAAGATGAGAATTCTTTTATATATGATAAATGTTATTTATAATGGGTTATGAGTAATATTTGGCAAAAATGAAAATAGAGATATATGATGAAAAGTTTGATTTCAATCAAATAATAATTGATTTTTAAGAATGTATTAATTATTTTCCATTTTTCAATTTTTTTGTTTGTCATCTCAACATACAATAACAACAATAATGTCTATTTAGATTAAAAGCACACTTCTTGAAGAAAAACTAAACTTGAGCAGTTACTCATCCGATTACTTTTTATGAATCATTTCATTTAATAACCGTTTGCAGTATATACTTGAATATATAAAATCAAACAAATATTTAGCATTCTACAATTCTTTTATACTGAAAATTCATTCCATTATCAAGTTATAAATTAAGTTGTCTATATAATTGATGACAATAATGATGCATGTACCATTTCTTAGTACACATGATCCAAATAATCTAAATAAATGATGTATCAAATTATTAATTCAAAAAAAAAAACATTTGATATTTTATGATAAAAAATGATAAGACTTAACTCTTTTTGAAATATACTGTTGATTTAATATTGAACTGTCGATGTTCTCTCATTTTAATTTTACCAGCAAATGAGAATACTAAGTATTTTTGAAAGAATAAAATATTATGATTATATTGATATTTCTTCGAAATAGATGTCAAAAAGTGAAGCAAAAAATTCGAACTTAGATATGAATGTAATAGAAATGATTAGATTGAGCGCTGGTGTATTGACTATTAATTTATTGTAGCTATAATAGGTTTATTTGAGCATTCACACATGTATGCTTATATATGAAGTTCAGTCTAAAATATTTTTACTTCTACGGGACAATAGACAACTTTGACACGTTCAGTGAAGTAGCCATGTTAGCTTTTATATCCTAGAGGAATAACAGCACTGATCAACTGTAAGTAAAAATAAATGGTTTCGGAGTTTCGCCAATTCGAATGTCTCTTTAGCATTGATGACAAAGATCTATATCAATTACATCGATAGATAATGCTTGCTATGTCGTCATCATATATTTTATTTCGTGGAATATTTCATATATTCATTGGATGATAAATGTCTTTCACAACTCGTGCTGCAGGATTATGATCTCTAGCTACTCCTGATACAGCATTTGAACTTAATCAAACAATATAAATTCCGACACTCATAACAATATTTACTAGAAAAATAACTGGAAAATTTCTGCTGAACAACAAACAAAGGCAACTTCAAAAACAGATACCTAAAGAGACAAGCATATCAATTTTTTGTACAAAATTAGTCTTAAAAAATAGTGCCTTATTTTCTATGTAGTTTGCTTCCATTATACAGTTTTTCACATTCAATGTGTTAGTGTTAAACACGACTAACTTTGGTTTTTTAAAAACTGTGATAAAATTTAGTGTTGTCCGAATGCGTACATTTTGTATATAACAGCTTTCACTCTGATATTTTGCGCTGGTTGCATGCATACAGATGCCCTTTAGCCAATCTATTCTCTATTAACCTTTTCACTAAATTACCTCATGTGTTCAAATATACAGAGATAATAATGTTCATAATCCTTAGTCTTCATTACAATTGCATCAATTTCTATTCTAGACTTGGTATTGACTGAAAATCGTCTAGAACTAATCGAAATTGTCTTTGGTAAGAAGTAGGAACTTACCGTTTCACAGACTGCTACTTTACTAGTTACTCAGTAATCCAATAACGGTGAAATTCTGAATTTTAATTTTTCGGTGAGAGAAATCGCTTTTGAGGAAATAACGATTGTTTCTTTTTCATAAAGTTTGATCGAAAGATTTTGGGGTCGAGGAATGCAAACATGCAATTAGTTTCTCAAAATTGTGTAAACCCCCTCCCATATTAGAAGCCCCTCGGGGCTTCTATTAGGCCTTGCAAACTTGGGCCGGATTTTGCTGGGAAAAGTTGAAAATTTTGCGGGATAAATCCTTTAAAGGGGGCTTCTAATATGGGAGGGCTTCTAATATGGGAGGGGCTTCTATTACGGGGAGGGGTTTAGTTCATTTCTCGGTCAGATAAATTGCATGGCGAACACCTACAATGAACCTATGTAGAAAATCGTTAATTTTCACGAAAGTTTTTTCTTTAATGGAAAAAACCACGTACCAAATTTTGAAAAACTGATTGCAGATTCGGATAACTCGACTCAAAAACTCTTTGGTCAAAATTAATAAAAAAGAAATCGTTTTTTCCTTAGAAACTCTTTCTTTAATGATATTCTTTGCTCACACAATCGTCATGAGACGCAGCCGGTCACATAAGATAACAAGTGATGTCAATAGGCATCAGATGCAATAAACGACAAAATTCGATAAAGTCATATGGAAACAGTTGTGTGTAATTAAATGTTTCATTATATCGAAATTTCAATTTCTTAGTACATTGTACGAAAATTTTTATATAAGATAAGATTACAATAGATAGAACGGTGATCTCTTATATTGTGATTTCTGCTTAACATTTTCTTTTTTTCTCACACCATAAAATCTTCTTGTACTTGTGCAAAAGCTAAAGGTGCTTTGATTTTCAATAACTGTCGCATACGTGGTTGAGCTAGTTGCATATGTTCTAATGTTAATTTAATATCTGTGCCAAGAAATTCAATTGTATCATGAAGAATTTGTACACATTTAGTTAATTTCTTTGCAAGTTCAAAAAGTGTTGTATATTCTTCATGTAAAATATGTTCGAAATCACTTTTTGTTAAATATTGCGGATAAGAATTATCTATTGAATTTAATAATTTTTCAAAATCAAAGTCTTTTTCTAATTCACTTAAACCATATGCATATTGGTTTATATTTGATTGTTCATTTGAAAATGGTAATATAAATAAATGATTTGGATCATTTGAATTTGTTTCTAATAAATGTCTTTTTTTATTAAAACAGCATATTTGAAACCAATATATATGATTTAAAGCTGAGATTTTTTCATTTATTGCTTGTGCATGTAGTTTAGTTAATTTTAGATCAGCAATACATTCATCGATTTCACGTTGTTGTTCAATAAGATATTGAATTGATTGTATACACATTAGTTTTGTTTGATATAATTTTTTTAAACATTCATTACATCGAATCCGTTCGTCATCTATTAGATTCATCTTTAAAAAAATAACTTCGTTAATTGTACGCGCTTATTTAGTATTTTTTTAACCATAGTCTTTACTATTTATCATCAACAATTTATTGATAATACCTCTAACGATGAAATTTTAGCCCCATATAACAGGCATATGTAATAAGTATCAACTTCATAAAAACTTTTTCGCTCATTGGTTTTCATATAAGTAGCGTTAATTAAATTCAACCATTTGATTAATTATTAAAAATAAGCTTTTATAATCTCTATCGAATATTTATCCATTCTTATCAACAGGTAAACATATCTAAACAGCAACAGTTCTTATGAAAAAAAAAAGTAGATTTCGGTTTTTTCAAAGACCATTTTTTGATAAAATATTTACTTAATATTGTTATGCTATTTGAGTTTAAAAAATATACACAGTATCAAGCAATCAATATAAGAGATAAACTTGACTAAATATATTTGTCACCAATGAAAAATGAATATGAAAAAAGGATATATTATATGTTTATTTTGTTTTTAATTTTAAGCCTATTTAATTAAAATAGTGAAGCAGTGGCATACGTGATACTATATGAGATGCTTATGGTACCATACATGGTGTACTCTATCCTATTACGCGTTCATATGCATTATTCACTCTAGGAATTTCTTTTCGTGTACAAGCATTAATAGTTCTACCAGTTAAAATAAGACTAGTTAATAAGATAATAAATAATCCACATGAAACTGCTAAAGAAGCACTTGATAAATTCTTGTCGATGCGCACAAAACTTGATATTGAATCTCCCTCATTTGTTCCATAAATGTTTTTCCAACCTGCAATTATTGTTGAATATGTTGCTATTAAAAATATTAATAAACATAATGACAATAGTGAACAAATAAAAAATGTTAAAATAGATGAATAATTTTGCCTTTGACTACTTATGATACCAATTACGCCTGTTGTAAAAAATAGCAAACTAAATAGTAACGTAGCTGTTGACCACGGCCACATCCAACGGTTCTCTAGTTTAGGATTTATAATATTTCCATTATAACCAATGACTGTATCCGGAAATATGGAGTATTGAAATGTTTCATTGGAATCATTTCGTCCGCGATTATTTGAACCTGAATAAAGACGTCCGAGCTCTATTGACAACAATGTTGCAGTAAATAAAAGTACTAAACAACCAAGTACAATGCCAGTTACACGAAAGGAAGGATAGTTTTGATTATTATACATTATTATGGCTTTATCGACAGGATGTTGTACATAAAACAATGGGTGGAAATTATGTGTGTTATGGTAAGTGGAGAGAGTTAGAAGGAGAGCACAGTAGTGACGTAGATTAATGTAAAGAAAAATGATCACGCCTGCAATACGGAAGATAATTGGTTTGTTTCGAATGTATCAGAAAACGATGAAATAAAAATAATACTATGCACAAGTAGCCACGTTTTTTTACTAGATTGTTGCTCGCTGACTCTTCCGATGTTTTTCTTTTGATAAGAAAACGTGATTGATTGTGTCGTGAAAAAATAAATGAGTATCAAGAACAAAATCAAGAACGAAAATATATAACTGTAAAAATGGGCATTAATAGATTCATTGATAAAGAAAAAATAGTAACAATCAATCAAGCATGACCGATGTTTGGTCACTCACAGGTTGAATAGTAAATAAAATACATGAAAATTTACATCTAAAATAAAAACATTACAATTTATTGAAAAATTGAATTTATTGATTGAAATCAATTAAAAAGTAGCTAATCTATTGATTGATTCCAAGAAAATAAGTAGACCTCGAACTCCAAGGAATATTATGCAAGCAATACAACAGCTGCTATTTTTTCTTTTTACAATTTATTAAAACGAAACCCCTATTTTTTACTGGTTTCAAATGCTATATAAGATAATATAAGTTCATTACTAAACAAATCGAAATAATTTTTAATATTATATATATACAATCATAATAGTACCCATTCGTAATTTTACTCATATATATATAATTCTCTTCACGGAAGAACAGCATGTGTTGTTGCTTTTTGCTTGTGAGAACAAGAAAACATATTTCTAATCGAATAAATTGTGCATCGATCGACTGATGATTTGTTTTGCGTATCTCCGAGAGTTTCTATCTTGAAAATACATGGATTCATTAAACCAATCGAATGTTACCCTATCTTTTAGAGCTTGATGAACTATACTATCAATAAAAACAAATTAGCTTACAACACCATTCTTTTAGGGAGTTATAAGACGCACAAGTTTAACTGAAAATTGCTAATACTCATAAACAAGAAAAAAATTGGAAATTGACCAGACTTTGTTGTCTTCACTTTTGTTAATATTGTATATAACGAAAATTGTGCCTGATTCCACACTATTGTTCCCCAAGATTTCGTGTATTCGCTGATATATTGGTTTTTTAATTTTCATTGGTTTCGTAACAAGTCTTCCAAACTAAACTATTGTCTATCCAAAAATATAGTAGCCATCATAATTTTGGTTCTAACTCAACAATGGGCATAACTAGAGAGTTGTAGTTTTTACCACTATGTAAGTTATTAATTACTTTATATATTCATCAAGACATGCTGGAAATCCTTGCAATTTCAAGAATTCGTCATCATTCATCTTCCAAAGCGTTGATCGTAACTTTTCAAAGTTCCACAGAGACTCATATGTCGAAGCTACGTAGAATTTAACCCAGGGGGCTCCTCGAAAAAGAAATGACGGAAAGTCAATCTTTCTAACTTGTGCCATTCTCGCATGGTAAGGTGCAAGCAGTTCAAACTTCAAATAAAATTGTTTTTTCGCGTTTATTTTTACATCATTTGATAGAGCTTGAGCTGCTGATCACGAATATCTACTTTTTAGCCTCAACAAATACTTCCTTTCGGTCGAAAAATGCGAAATACTCAAAGAATGCCGATTGTTTCAAAAAAAGCACATCTTTTTGAAAATGTGGAAACTTTTCCACTTTCTTCTTGTTTAAAGCTTCTAAGAATAATTTTTCAGATTCAGCATGAAAAACTAAATATAAAAAAATTGCTAACTTGACTCTAGCCCCAAAACTGTATTAATGGTGGCGCGTGAAGTACACTACGTAGAGATCGATTTTGTAAACCTATCTAGTTCTTTGATTTACATAAGAACGGCAAATATTTTATCTCATTCGATTTATCATACTATCAATTACAAAGTTACGTATCCTTTTTTTCCTTTTCTTTCCTTGGTTCAGAACAATTGTTTTTACTGACGGAGTAGAAAAACGGGGAGGTCATTTTTAAATAAAATGCCTATTTTTTACTCAAATTAAGTAAAATTTTGTCCACATAGGTAAAATCTGATGATGAATTGAATGAACATACTTTGGAGGTCTTTAGGTAGTTTTCATGGGGTCTTTGGAAAACCTTTTACCCGAAAACCATAGTATAACAATATGTTTTAATAGCATGTGTCTTTTTTTTTTAGATAATATTGTTTTCAACTAAAGTAAGTTAGTTTGTTATGCCTAAAGCAAGTAAAAAAAAGGTCCAGCACAAGGTACATTGTCTCGTCGGTGGTCAAGTGTAAAGATTTCGGATTCAAGTGATTCTTCGAATGATGAATATCGGATAGATATTGAGGGTCTATGACTGTTGTGTGTAAGACAAAAGTGTGTAAGACAATTGTGTGCAGACAATTGTGTGCAGACAATTGTGTGAAAGACAATTATGAGAACAGACGGTCATGTGCATGCACGTCAATCAATTTTCCTTGAGAGTATCAAAACGAGTGAGAATAAGAAGACGTTATCAACTTAGAGTCATTCAAAATTCACCATCGTATAGATCACATTGAAAGTACGAATACATCATGTCCATTTTATTTTCTCAAACTGAAAAAGACAAGCTGGTTCTGATTGAGAACGGTTTTGATTACATTCAAGAACGTACTCATGAAAATAAAGTATATTGGCGATGTACACAATGCAACAAACAGAAATATAAAGCTAGATTGCATACAATTAATAACACAATTTGTCATCTAGTTGGCGACCACAATCATGCTCCAAATCCGAGTATAAGTGGAATTCGTCAATGTCGTTCTGAAATTCGTGACCTGTCTAAAACAACAATGGCCACACATTCAATTGTTGCCACATCAATTGCTACAGCATCTACTACAGTGTTAAGCCAGCTTCCACCTATCAATGACTTGAAACGTACCATCTGTCGACGACGTGCTGCTAATCTAAATTTTCCAGCAAATCCTCGATAGATATCAGAAATACATATAAACGGCTCATTTGCTTTTACAAAGAAAAAAGAACAATTTCTACAATACGACTCAGGAAATCAAGATTTGGGTGTGGGTGTGGGTGGGTGTGTGGGTGTGGGTGTGGGTGGGGTGTGGGTGTGGGTGGGTGTGGGAGTGAGTATTGGTGCAGATGAAGAGATACAATACACACCCACCAACACCCGCACCCACACCCACACCCACACCCACACCCACACACCCACACCCGCACCCACACACCCACACCCACACCCACACCCACACATCCACACCCCACACCCACACCCTGCCCTAAATATCATTGTGAACTAAACGCAATTGAAGATCTTTGGTGTAATCAAAAAACATTTGTTCGTTCACGTACAGATCAAAGTTTCGAAAAGATGATAAAATTAATATCGGATTCTCGTATACATTTTGTTCAACGAGAAATTGCATTAAAATTATTCAGAAATTTTTCGCGTTCAATCGAAGCATATTTTCAAGATCAAACATATGCTGACGTATTAAAACTTTTTCAGTCAACCCTGCAAAACATCAGTTCAATTACATCGAAGAATATCAAATAAAAACATAAACGACCATCAATGCACGTATTTTTTTCTATTTCAATACTTTTATTCTGCATGTATCCATTCATATTATATAGCTAAGCATGAAGAGTCATTAATCTGCCCATTAAAAACCATAAAATATCCATTAATATCACAAACAATGTTTTTTCAGGTAAAAGGTTTTCCAAAGACCCCATGAAAACTACCTAAAGACCTCCAAAGTATGTTCATTCAATTCATCATCAGATTTTACCTATGTGGACAAAATTTTACTTAATTTGAGTAAAAAATAGGCATTCTGTTTAAAAATGATCTCCCCGTTTTTCTACTCCGTCAGCAAAAACAACTGTTCAGAACCAAGGAAAGAAAAGGAAAAAAAGGATACGTAACTTTGTAATTGATGGTATGATAAATCGAATGAGATAAAACATTTGCCGTTCTTATGTAAATCAAAAAACTAGATAGGTTTACAAAATCGACCTCTACGTAGTGTACTTCAAGTGCCACCACTAATACAGTTTTGGGGCTAGAGTCGAGTTAACAATTTTTTTATATTCAGTTTTTCATGCTGAATCTGAAAAATTATTCTTAGAAGCTTAAAATAAGAAGAAAGTGGGAAAGTTTCCACATTTTCAAAAAGATGTGCTTTCTTTGAAACAATCGGCATTCTTTGAGTATTTCGTATTTTTCGACCGAAAGGAAGTATTTGTTGAGACTAAAAAGTAGATATTTGTGATCAGCAGCTCAAGCTCTATTAAATGATGTAAAAACAAATGCGAAAAACAATTTTACTTGAAGTTTGCGCTGCGGGGACCTTATAAATTTTGAGTAAGAACAGCTGCGCTAACAAACTTCTTTTGATTAACTGTGCAGCCCAGGATATTTGCCTATATGTTGATGACTAAATCTATATCCTTACCATATTTACTTTGTGAAGCCTACATAACCTTTCGAGAGCTTATCTACCCAATCGCTGAAATAAAACATACATTTATTTTGCACTTTTGAAAAGAAGCGAAAGCGTGATTATTTTTATCTCCTGTCGTCGAGGATTTGATGTTTTGCGCTGTTCAACTGTTTTTCGTCCTATTTCTATGTTATCAATCATCACAATCGCTTGCTGATATATCTTATATGTATTTGTTTACGAAAGAAGATTTATGGCTCTCAATGTCAGATGGTGTTCGATTGTCTGCTACACTCACTATACCCATTCCAAAACAGACCGATGAAAAATTTCCCGTTTTACTTGAATACAAACCGTACAGAAAAGATGACAATTTCTACAATTACAATCAACCAAATATTTACTATTTAGTACGACGGGGTTTTATTGTGAGTGAGCTAATAACAAACAAAATCACTCTAGTGAATTTTTTGTTCTCAGGTAGCCAAAGTAGATATTCGTGGTACTGGTTCATCTGAAGGTATTTTGATCGAGCACGAATATACATCGCAAGAATTAGACGATTGTGAACGTGTTATTGAACAACTCGCTGCTCATTCTCAATCGAATGGTCGTGTAGGAATGTACGGTTTGAGCTGGTCAGCATTCAACTCTCTCATGATGGCTACCCTGCGACGACCACCAGCTCTTCGTGCTATCTTAGCAGCACATGGTTCAGAAGATTTGTACAAAAATGACATTCACTTCATGGATGGAATTCTTCATCAAGATGAGTACATACTTTCTGTCGACCATGAAAATGCCCTACCTACCACACCTGACTATGTCATGGATGAACAATGGATCAAGGAACGTTTCACAAGAAGACCTTGGATCGATGTCTATCTTGAACATCAGCTCGACAGTCCATTTTGGAGGAAACATTCGATTAAATATGCCTATGATAACTTGACTGTACCCGCTTATCTACTCGCCGGGTTGTATGATGGGTGAGTTTGACGTGTTTCGCGTGAAATAAATACATGTTTCTTCCACTGAACAATCTAGGTATAGAGATTTCGCAATTAATATTTATGAAAATGCTCGTAAGTCATCATCCAAGATTAAAGTGGTCATTGGTCCGTTCGTTCATGCTATGCCTGAATATTCTTATCGCAATCCTGGTCCAGGTTATGATGGCAAAGCTGAGATGGTTCGATGGTTCAGTTATTGGCTTAAAGATGACGACAAGAACAGCGACATTATGAACGAACCGGATATTACCCTATTTATGCGAACGAGTCTCACTACGGGCAACTATCGATACGAACCTCAATGGCCTATCCCTCGGCGGCAGATGCGTCGAATGTTCATGTGCAGCGGGCAAAGACTAGTTGAACTAGCCGAAGAGAAGAAGGAAGGTACTACTGATGTGGACACCCTCGAGTATCGACCATGGATTGGATTCGAAGCTGAAGGCTGGTGGGGTTCCTCACTTAGGAATCAACGCCCGTTTGACGAACATTGTCTCATTTACGATAGTGATCCAATCAACGAAACCATGGAAATAGCTGGATTTGTCGACGTATCGCTTGAGGTAAGGCACGATGATACCATTTAGAATTGATCGAACACTAGAAAAATCTTTGGTTGATAAAAAGTGTAACACTGTCCACTTGACGTGGCACTCTGTCGGTTTGAGTCATCAGTCAGCTACCAGTCTGAGAAAACATGAACGAAACATTTGTGACTAGTTGAAATTACGATGATACCCATGCAATGGGTGTCTCAATAAATGTGAGAGATCGAAATATTTATCTAGCCACACACAATACAGGTAATCCCTCATCTGTTGTTTGTGTCACTGCAGGTGAGTGCTACTGCACATCTAGCTCACTGGATTGTGCGTCTCGAAGACATCGACATCGATAGTCAAGTATGGCTCGTAACTGGAGCTGCTCTTAATGGAGCTCAACGAGAAACGCCTCCTGCCTATCTGGAACCGAATCACCTATATAAAATCAGATTGCAGCTTCATTTTACTACATGGACTTTCCTGCCGGGTCATCGCATTCGTGTAGCCATTTCCAACGCTATGTTTCCTGCTTTTTGGCCATCTCCATTTTCCATGAACACATCACTTTATCTGAACCCATTGGCAACATTCATCGGCTTGCCCATTATTCCTTCGTTGCCATCAGCGCCACCATCACCACCACCATTATTTACACAACAACAGATTCCAGTTGATGACATCATTCCAGACTTATTCTCGGGTGGAGAAGTACTAGCAGCTCGAAATTATGACACAAATTTCGATAGAACAGTGATTAATGAACAGATTTCCTACGATCTTCTACCAAATGGTCGCTTCATGTCTGCTCTCCTCGCTCAAAACTTTTCTTGTTCACGTTTGAATCCGGCTGATGTACGATGGACCGCCGTAGCCCGACACGTCTATGTATTTGATATTCATGGGTATACATCAATTGACGATGTACCCATGAAGAATGACGAAGAGATAGCTGTCTATCCAGATGTGGATCTGTCGACACGACGACATTTTGAACTCACTACCGAGTTGACTTGCTATTCGGATCAAGATTATTTTTATGTCAATTTAAAACGTCAACTGTTCAATCGAATGGGAACAAAAAATGAGGTCCCATTAACATTTGTATTCAGTGGAAAGCACAAGAGGCAATTTCAATAATTCAGTGTTGAACATGATTTTTCGCAATGAGTTCTCGAGTGTCAAAAGCAATTATCTGTCTCATTGTCTTGTTTGCTACTATATTTATTTGCTTTGGTTGCGAGGAGAGTGATCTTACTTTTGGAAAAGAGCAAATTTTTTCTCAGTGCAAAATTCTTGAAAAGAAACCGTTCTTCGTTCGGATTTGCTTATGCTTGTACTGTTGTTAAGAAAGTGTCTTCCTAAACAAGTATGCTGATTTTCAATCTCAATCATGGCTACGCACTAACAAAAAATTTTAATTAAAAACAAATTTAGCACAAATTATAAGTAAAGCAACAGACAACCGGAAAATGACTTTAAAGAGTATGAAATAAAAAAGCGAAGGTTGAATTCCCTTACCGGAGCGAAAAACCCGCTGTTTTTGTGTTCAGGCAAACACCGGTGCCAATTTCAGAATCTATCATCACCGTCTACTTGGGTACCCGGGAATATATTGTTTTCATAGAAATATCTCTATTCAACTCGCGTTAGTCGGTGTATTGAAACCGTCTTTCCAATTGTTTAGCAAATTTCTACTGTCGGATATCATTAGATCTTTTCAACGAAATCCGACGGTGTCCGACAGTAGAACATCGTCAGAGCCTAAAGGATATTAATGATTTCCAACAGTTGAACCCGATGGGATGTCGACGGGTGAATTCGACCTGAATGTATGTCTGTAGTAAATATGTGGTGTTCAGTTATGATATATGTATCGCTTTGGAGTTGTCCTATGTTTCGAAGCTTGTGATATAATGCTACTTCGGTGGCAGCTGCTTGACTTATTGTAAGAAAATTTGATAATATTATGTAGGTTGTATGAGAATTACATTGGAGCCGTGGTTTCGAAACATCTAGTTACCATTGGTGTTCACATTCATTGTTAAACGCATTGTTTTAAGTAGTAACCATGGGAGTTGTCGTTCAACGTTTTGACATGGTTTGTCCTTGGCTCTCGAAATAGATAAAAGTTTATATCCACATCTTTATAAGGATCATCGTTGTAAATGGTCATTCGATCTCTATAGCATACCTTGTCAAAATTGGGCGGAATCTTCCTTGTATTAGTACCCCTTCAGTCTGGCAATTCCAAACCGTGGCAGGATCGTTCATGATAGAAAAGTGGTAATATGGATTGCGAAATCCCTCGCCAGCTCCCCATTATGTAAAATCAGAAAAATATCCCTGAAGTTTGTGATTAAGTTGAGCCTATTATACTTTCAATATCTTTAAGTATTTACTTCATCAAAAATAACTGTGGAATTAAGTGCGAGGTATCCCGAGAGAAATTTTCGACGGAAGCAGCTAAATCAACTCTTTCTCATACTTTAGAGGATAAAAAGAGCTGATGAAACTACAGGTACAGTCAAAAGTAGACAGAAGACACTGATGTTACAATAATTAATAAACTTCAGACTAAGCTACATTCATACTGCATATTCAACGATATGTAACACTCAGGAGATGAATCACTATACAGGAACATATTAAATCATCGCTTTCATTAGTGACATCGATTTTATCAATCAATTTTTATCTCATTTGCATTGAATAAGTTGCGACTATAAGTACTGAATACAATAAACTAGATGATTATTTTAATTCACAAGGGAGTTCTATTCTAAGTCCAATGTAGATCTGTTTTTTTCTTGCCGAACACTGTCCCAACTCGAATTGGGTTCTTTCTACATTTAAAGGCTAGACATTTCAGGTCTTGTGGAGAGAAATCAGTGTTATATCAAACCTACAGCTGTCCATGATTATAAGAACGTCTTGGACCAATCTATAAGTTTACACAGTTCTACATGATCGTCACCACATTTTTCTTCTATTGCTGAAAGAATTCGTTTACGCTTCTGAATTTTCAATTGTGAGTATTCAGAAAAGCTGCACTAGATGTTGCATATATAGGAGAAACATCTGTGACTGGTAGTGGTACTTTATTTTTGCTTAACAGATGATGCAAAGTTGAATGCTTTACTTGATTTTATTCTTTCAATGTAAAGTAAAGATAAAGTGGCATCTATATTCAAAAATGATGTTCAAACAAATTTTCTGATAATTCGAATAGAAGGTACTTTTGATTTTTTTTTCGAGTTCCTTTTATATTATAAGTCGAATTACGTAGCTACTCTTTTGTGCATAGCTAAATAATATTCTTAATCATTTGTTAATAACTAAGTTTTACAACATATTTCAAATAATATGACTCCTTTTTAGCTCGTCATTCGAATGATAAAGTATGCTTTTTTTCTGGTGTACTTAAAAGTTTAAAAGATCTAATTGTGTCTTCGTGAACTCAAAAATAGTAACTAGTAACTGTATGCCAATGGTAATTAAACTGGTTTCACTCAAATATCCGTTAACTTGCCCTAGGGAAAATGTTCATGGGCGAGTACTCAAACAGTACTTACGCTAATAAATGTTGCGAATATTCGTGAGTACTCATAGGTTTTGAATATGCATCTTGTAGTATTGAATGCTTCGTAAATGTTCATATATAATTTTTGTGTACGCTGGTGGTTAATGTGAAATAGCTGGTAAGTGTATATTATATTTAGCATTATTGTACTAAATTTGTTTTATTTAAACATAAGACTAACAATAAAATACAAGAATACATACAATGAAAATTTTAGAGGTACAATTAGTTTGAGAACCAGAGATATTAAATAACTTTCATAGTTTTCGTACATAGCATAGAGAAAATGTTCCATTTTTAGAAAATAACGCAAAACTAAACAAAAACATGAATCCAGAAAAATACAACATCAGTAAAAAGAAATAAATAGAAAAATTACTCAAGAGAATTCAGAAATGCTATAAGACATAAACAGTTAGTCTTAATAATCAACTACAATAAGAAAACGAATATTTTTACATTGATGAATATGCTTCATTTAGAAGCTTAGAACAAAATAAAAATTAAATTATTCGTTGACACTATAATGCATGCACCTTCATAATATGACACTGCCATCGATTTGGGACTCAAGTTATTAGCCATCTTTTGTTTCATTGGTTTTCACGGTCAATTTGGAAAAAAACAGTGTATTTTAATATAGAAGAATATTTTTGTCTAAGTTTTGGAAATGAGACTGAACGAGTTATTATTTGTTGCATTTACACAAATACTCAATCTCACTCGTGAAGGGAAAAATTAAAAAAGAAAAATCGTTTTCCTTTCTAGAAATTATCATTCATAGAATTACTCAGAACGATTCATCAAAAACGAATGCATGAAAAAAGGAGATATGTTATTAAAAAATCTTTTCACTCTGTTTTCGTTTAATTACATCATTTTTCTTTATTATGTTAATTCTATCTATTTTGACACATTACAGTGCATAAGTGTTTTGCTAAATATTCTAGAGAAACACAAGGACAAGTGCTACATTGAATATACATATTTTCGCTTGCTAATAAATCTATAAGAAATAACTTGAACAAGTACTTGTTAAAGTATATGAAAAGTATACATACACATAGAATTGTTCGAATGCTCGCACAAGTAATATGAGTACTCATACGGGAAAGTCGTCCTTGCTGAATGAGGAATTTCACTACGGTAGGGTGTCGTGTAAACTTGCCAGTCGATATCGTTCTCCTCTTGATTGGAATAGTACTTATGGTTTCTTTTTTATCACACTCAGTCAAAAGTCTTACAACTAAAAACTAATCGTTTATTTTTTTTTCTTCGTTGATTATTTTCCTTACACATATTTTGCTCAAACAATAAACGCATAGTTTTGTCATTTCATTTTGATTTGGACAACTTACTTGTTCTTGGTGAAAACTGCTATTTATTACACTTCAATTATATTTATTTTTATTTATATAACAAAACATACAGGTGTCTATGGAATGACCAAACTTGTTTGAATGTCAAATGAGTTCAGCGAAGTAAAATTACTAACATATAGATAACCAAGTAAAGGAAATATTCTTATTCTTTCTTCTCCTCTTCTTCTATCTTCACTACGACGATATAAATCATCAAAACTACCAACACAAATACTTGCTAACATTGAACTGTATAGTGTCAATGATTGCGACGAACAGGTGAAGTATAGATTCAAATAAGAACAGATTAATACATCCCATCGTTTTTAACTATCGCTTATTCTCTCGTCACAACACGCACACGAACATATTAAATTCTTTATCACAAATACATGTACGTAGTGTTCTCTCATTTGTCAGATAGACGGTCAAGGAAATCGAGATATTAATTCGTGACAAATGGTCAAATGAATTTGACTCGTCGTTATCTATTAACATACGAAAAGAACAATGAGTACAGTTTTCAAAAGTCGTAAACGTGAGTACAATGATACTATATTGGAGGTAATTGCAAGTTTTTGGTACGATCGGCATAAAAGATTGAAAGTACACCTAAACAATTTCTTAGTACTGTATTTTATTTCACTCTATGTCTGTGTTAAGCAGCAAAAATTTTCCAACACTTCATCAAACATTAAGGAACACATACTTTGTACAATTTTATTTCTTCTTAATTCAATAATAAAATTGACTTTACTTATTGAAAATGTGTGAGTCGTTCTTCAGTTCTATATGGAGGGCAGGAAGTCAGAAATAGGCCACAATACGCATCGTCACTTTAAATTTTTTCGTAAGAGAAGTCACTTTACATTTGGTAATATAATGTGAATTTCTTTTGAATGGTACAAAACTAAGAACTGAAATTTTTAGCACTAATAGAAATTTTTGTTTTTACATTTACTGTGAAAATTTGAACCGAATCGAATGCTTCATTGAAGAGTTATTAAGGAGAAATTTTTCAAATCGTCACTCTATGAAGTATAATAGCGTTTTCTCAGAAAGTCTTGTTATCTTTTTTCTCTAATAAAGCTGGTAAGAGAGAACTTTTTCTCATCATTGTCTTACTGAAAGAGTTTTCTTTCTTTTCATATAGTCGACGTACAGACACTTCTACCACAGGCAAAACAAGAATTAAGTTTTTGTCACTCTACACGAAAATGTATAACTGTCTGTCAAAGATTGTGAACGTCGGACAAAGGAATCCAGAAGAAACGAAATTTGAATCAGTTATATATTTTGATAGTGTCGAACGCTGCACAAAATTTGACTAATGACATATTTTTTCTCTTGTTTTTTCGTAGTCGAAAAATTTCCTTTTCTTTACACATGTGTGCAATAAATAACACTTTCTATAATGTGCTTCTCATAACTCAACGACAGTTTGAGTTAAAGTGCTAAAATTTTGTGTAACAGTAGTGTGTTCTAAGAGAAATAAAATATTTAAAAAATGTCCAAATCAGTGGAGAGAAACAGAAGTTATTAGCCAAATACAGTTAAAATCTCAATCGTACCAAAAAGTTACAATTTACTCATTGGAAAGAATGGTGTAGAGTTCAATCATACTTCAAACCATATGTTGCCATTATGATACTGTCGAAGGTAATTGTTGATCGAAATAAGGGCAGCTTTTGCTTCACACAGCTGTTCTCTTGTCATTGCATTAAATTGATTAGAATGTTTACTTCTTTTTCAAGTAAATTGAACAAGATACAATTCTCTTCACTTCATTCTTTTGTTTCTTTAATCAGTCCTAGAATCAATAGAGGCGTGCGCATATGGACCCTTCACTTTCTATTTTTTTTGTCGGTGATGATCATCATCATGGCTAAAACAAGCTGTTGCTTTCCCAGTATATAATTTTTTTCTTTCGTCATTCCTTACATATGTCGAACAGAAGAACGCAAAAAGAAGCATTTTTAAAAAATTTTTATTATGAGTTTTGTTCGAATAGTCAAATAGCTATTGATGCACTGAACGGTTGAGTCAAATAGATATAACGTTTATTTTCAGAATATAATGACTATGTGTAAAGTGCTTTTATTTGGTTTAAAGCCATGTGATATAAGCAGCTGTACCAATGATAAAATACTTGAAGTATCACGTCCACGACAACATTCTTTAATTTCAACAACACTACCTAAATTTCAACGAGAGAATATGAAAGAAAATTCATCATCATTAGATACTGATTATCTCAATTTAGTTATTAAACCTTTGGTAACAACAAGTAATTCAGTAAGAAGAGACAGAATTATGGATAAGTTTTCTTTTTTCTTATACGTTGATTTTAGCATTCTTCGACAAGTAATGATACTGGTCATGAGTCAAGTCCAATTCGTTTGAAGATTCTTGAAACACCACAAGGACGTCATCGTATTTGCGTCTCACAAACATTATTACGTACGCATACTGGTGATACGTAATATTTTTTGCATTCTTATTTGTAATGGAAAAGAAACAATAATACATTCCTGTTCTATATGATATTTTTTTTTATGTTAAAAAAACTTGCTCTTTTTTAATGTTATGCATTGTAGTTTGCATTTTTTTAATTATAGCTTTGTTTTATAGTATTCAAGATTAGTTTGTCTTTTAGAGATACTATGAATTATTTCACATTGATTATGTGTAGTTTAATCAAGTTTTTTTCATGTATTATATACTATCGAAACAAGGATAGAAGAGATAAATGTTTCCATATTTATTATTGTTGTTGATTTGCTAACTATTCAAGAGAGAAGAATAAGTACTGCTTTTTACGCACTATTTCATAGTTATTTTGGCGAATCACGATGTAAAATCATATTGATTCGGTTCGATTGGTTTATATGCATATCCTAATTTCAATTTTCCTTGTTGCTCATTATAGTTCATGCATATTTACTGTAAAATCTAACTAACTGGTCAATTTCCGTTTAGCTCGGTTCCTCGTTCTGTTTAATATTTTTTCGTCTAATATATTAAGTCGATCTGATTACGAAATTAAATAGAAATCAATGAACTATAGTTGTCATCAGATGAAAGCTTGCCTGAAGGAAAAATATATTCAAGGAAAGAAGATAATATAACAGCTTGAGAGACTCCCGTATGATTTCATATTTATATTTTGTAATCAACTTTTTGACTAGGCCCACTTCCCAAAATCAAGAGCTTGGGTTTACCACTAGAGCCCATTGCTGATCGCTAGAGCTCATGAGGAAATCTCTTCAAATGTCAAATCGTATTTCGACAGAGACGATGTAATGAAAACATCTAGTATGTTTTGGTTTTGCGAACCTTTATTCTTGAGATATCGAAATTTTACTTGATTTTTCAAGGAAAAACAGTAAAGCCCCACACAACTCATGGAAAATCGACTTTCGAGTTTCGACTTCAAAACTTTGTACAAACAATGTTCTTAATGAGATCAATACATTGGACAAGTTGCAACTTTTCTACTATCTTCTATCATAAGATATACAATATTCGAAATTCTTTCATGTGTAAAAGCAAAATTTTGTTCATACATTTACATCTTCACAAAGGAAATACTAGAAAAGCTAACATTTTTCCAAAGAACTAATATCATTAAGAATTCTATTCGTGCAAAGTTTGAAATCGAAACTCGAAAGTCGACTTTTCAAGTTATCTGAACGGAATCATAACTTTTTGTTCAAAAACTCAGTAACATTTCGATATCTCAAGAATGAATGCCTACAAAACTAAACCCTTCTAGAATTTTCTATTATTCTCTAGCATTCATCAAACGAACATCGTATCTACCGTAAAATGATTCAACACCCGAAGAGGTTTCTTCGTCAGTGACATCAAAATTCAATTGAAAGCATTAATCCTGACACGAAAGAATAATGCTATAACACTGGTATACTTATCATTATTGAGAACATGTTTGCTAGCTGTCTTTTGCTGCTTTCCCAAACTGCTTGCACTGTCTATCGGCTAATAAGATAAATTATTGTTACATACATCACAAAATAGAAGATCTTTTCTGTAGTTGTCAACATATACGTGCCTGCTAAAATTATGATGACTTCGTTTGAGAGACACGGTCATAAAAGTAACTACTAGTTCTATTTTTATCGACTGTAACGGTAGTTAGTAAAGCTCATACAGCAAATAAAAAGGGTTTCTTTTTTGTGAATATTTTCTATTAATATATTATATATCGCTGGAGTGTTCTTAATCGGTGTAAACTCTTTTAGTAATATTTTTCTTTAGATTAAGGGTATCTCTATAAGTTTTAAGATCATATGTATCTTCTTCGTATGATGGCACAGCTTTAGTTGCTCTCTTTTCTAGTATAAAAGACATAAAATATAAAAGATCGATTAAGTTCATTGTTTCTTTCGTAATAATAATAAATGGACTTGATCATTATTGAGCAAAAAACAATACCAGTTGTTATGGAATCATTAAACACTGTTGATTTTCTCTTCTTACAGTCGATTATTTAATTTATGAATAATACCCTATCTTCTATGTTTTTCCTTTCTCGTTAGTCAACGCACTGTTCATTTCGGCGTTGAAAAAGAACATGTCTGAAATAACTACGTTTTTTTCCTGTATTTTCTCTTGGGCTACAAAAAACTCACTAGTGAGAGAGAGAGAGAGAAAGAAGAACAAACGCTAGGTATAAAATTAGTAATTTATATGAGGAAGAAAAAGTCTGAACATATTACCAGAAAATATCAGTAGATTTATATAACTGTGTAGTTTTTATTAAGGTAGACTACACTTTATGTTATTTGCTACAATGTTTTTATATTTTTTTAGGTCGTAATAAAAAATAAGTCAACATTTATTAATGAAAAAAGCAAATACAAAAAATAAAAGATGACGAGAAAATAATATAGAAATCTATCAAGAGTATCATCTTTTTCCTTTTTCTAATCACAACTGACAAAAATATAAAAGTGACTCATTTCCATAGATTGATTGTATTTGCGAAATGCTTGAACTTATTTGTATGTCCTTGTTGGGTTCTCAATATTTATATTTATGTAAGTTGAAGAGAACGAGAGAATGAGCTCTTTTGCGTCTCTTCGTTCAATGATAATATGGATAATTGAGTGAAACAATATATAATTGAATTTTTCTGTCAATCGTATAATCTTATTCTGAGAAAACGAAGACGAAAAAAACTAGATGATTAGCATAGTATTGACAGTTCCTAAATATAAGCAAACATTCATTTATATCTATTTCATGCTATTGATTATTCTAGCTATGATCTTTTGATAAAAACAAAATGCCTTTAGCAGCTTTAACACCTGTATTAAATGATTTACTTAAAAAAGAAGGCGGTAGTTCATCACAATATCCACAACGTTCATCTCAACAACAATTACCTAATTCTAATGATGCACAAAATTCTAGTGATTACCTGCGTAAGCCATCTACTGTTTCCAATCAATTGTCATCAACATCTATTGATGATGTAAGTATTTTTATTAATCATGTTCCTTCTTCAAAGTAGAGCGAATGATGAAATCATTTATTCATGAATAAATAAATGTATATTATGCTGCTAATCAAACTAAAAGATATAAAATAGATCGAAAGCAGAGATCTATTGTTTCTGCTTCTTTTTCTTTTCCCTTTTCCCTTTTCTTCTGTTTTTTTTTCAACGTCTTATTCATCATCTTAACACCACGTCCGTGGCTCTTCATGTGATTGAATATGATAGAGAATTCCGAAACTAATTATCAATGTTTGTTTGCTGTTTTTTTTCAACTTGAATATATAATAAGAAGAAAAATCGTTAATGAGACTTGTTCAAATAAAGAATAATACAACGAATTATAATATTCAATCAATAAGAACGACGAAGACCATTCTCAGAAGATTGCATCGAATGCAACATGATCAAAGACATGGTGCTGATCTATTAAAAAATTGTTTTAGATTATATCCACGTTTTTCTATTTCACATTTATATATTTTTCTATTCTTCTAGAGTCCTCGTCATCATTCAACGACTGCGTACAGGCTGAGCAAATCATTAACACGTGAAGATTCGTTTTTACGAAGATTTTCCAATCGCTATGGATATCGAGGATTAGGAAAGATGGGTAAATTTATTGTTTCTATATATATATATAAATAAAATTTTTTTGAAATTTGTTGATAAGATCCAGTAAAACGAAATCTTCAATTAAATATTGAAAAAGAAGAACCAATTAAATCACAGTATGGATTTATTAGACGAATTCTTCGCACATGTAATTATTTTGTTATATCAACAGATGAATCATTTTTATTTTATTGGTTAATTTTACTGAATATATTTGTATTATATAATCTTTGGTTTTCTATTGCACGTCAAGCATTTGATCCATTACAACAAGACTATTCAAAATTATGGGAAATTATGGATTATATAGCTGATACAATTTATTTTCTTGATATTTTTATTCAATTTCGAACCGGTTATCTTGAACAAGGTATAGTACAAGGAGTTGGAGCAATTTGCCACTTCAAATTACATTTATTTCAAGAAGAAATCAGCGAGACTAAAACTACAAGTTAATTGGTATTCAGACTAAAACATTTTGCATTTGCTAGATTCCTAATCGCATTTCCGTGTATGATGCCGAAGGATAGGAAGTTATCGAATCCTCTCTTTTTCTCGATTCCGAGGTTAAAAGTTTCATTAAAAGCTCATAATTTCATGTATCGCTATAACATCGGTATGCCAAAATGAAAGTGTCAATTTAGATAAAAGTTTAACCAAGATCATTTTTTAAATTATAGCTTCGGGCTAGAGATGTAGAAGATTTAACGGATGTGGTAATATAAATGACTTTCTAAGTATTCTTTTTTCGATATTTTAGTTTGCTCTTGCCATTTTAAACAAAAAAAAAAAACTTCAAACAAAATATTCAGCTTTTAATTCTCTACGAATCTATATATTTTTACAAATGAAAAAATTCTTCTTAGCTTTCTAACACATAATATAATGAAGTACTTGAATATACGCCATTTTCTAGCTTAGGCTTTCTGAAAAAGTTTGTTATGACACTTATTTATTGTTCAAGTGATGTTATTTTTGGCTCTAGTTTATTTTAATTTGTTACTGATGAGATTCCATTAAATTTGAATAGTCTAACTGATTGGTGTATTGATGATTCGAAGAGCAATAATTCTTACCAATATAAAGCATAAAACTGTCATTTATCCATACTTCACTCCTATGTCTATGTGAGGTTGTTTTTTTGATTGCTAAAACTCTCGATTACTGATAAGAACTATCATCGTCTAATGTTTGTTCAACCAAAGCACTATACTCACTCATAAACGATAAGAATAAGAAGTCAAACAATCACAGAAATTTCGAATATGATAGCACAAACTTATATGTATGTCATTATTTACCTAAGTGAGGAGAATGTTATATATTCGAATATTCTATTATATTGCGTGTCACAACACTAGAAAGAATTCTTTCATCAATAATAATGAGCAGTTGTATAGGAAATTAAAAATTAAATCTTTTATGAGCGAAAATTTCTTTCGAAATGGCGGCAGCAGCAGATTCAGACATTGAAAAATGATTGACTGGAGCAATTCTATTTTACCATACTCGTTCGCTTTTGATACTGCTTTCAACTTATTTTTATTACCTATATCAATCCTAAGTCAGTAGAAGGAATGCTTTAAGAATAACTCCTTCACTTTTGGACTTCTGCTGATTCTTCACAAGAGCACAGCCAGGCGGGCTCAAGTTTTTACTATAGCTAGATTATCAAATATAATAGTAATCATATTCGATAATCTAGCAGTGGTAAAAATTTGAGTCCAACAGGTTATACTCTCGCAGAGAACCACAAGTAGTCTAGCAGAGAGAGAATATCCTTAAGTTTTTCCATAATCATGAAAACTAATAGATCCATCCAAAACTAAGATTTGCATAACTAGAAAGTTCAAAATATTCTAGGTTTACTCGTTTACAATCATTATAAACTTGCAATGAATTATATCCATTCATCACGTTTTATATTCGATATAGTATCTTTAACACCATTAGATTTACTTCAAATAAAATTTGGTTCAATACCAATTCTTCGTTTTCCACGTTTTTTAAAAGTTTATCGAACATTTCAACTTTATTATTTACAAGAATCACGAACTATTTATCCGAATACTTACCGTGTTCTAAATCTTTTTCATATACTTCTTCTATTGGGACATTGGTTGGCATCATTTTATTTTATGGTATCAAAAGCTGAAGGTTTTGTTGGTTATTGGTCATATCCAAAACCTGTTGGAAATTTTTCACAATTAGCAAAAATGTATCTTCGTTGTTTGTATTGGTCAACATTGACATTAACAACAATTGGAGATTTACCACCACCGGAAACAAATTGGCAGTGAGTAAATTTTCTATTGTAAATTCTCTAATCTAATAGAAAACAAAGGATTAAAATTTCTTCTGTAAATTTGTTCTTTTGTTTTTCTTCTTCGGTTTCTTTCTTTTTCTATTCTTGAAAGTTAGATGGCTCAAAAATTTTTCGAACAAACGGTAAATATAAATGCTTATTGTATTCTAATCATTGTTTGGTGTTATATGTCTATAATAAATATTTCGATAATTGTATTTTGGTTATTTTAGCTACGCTTTTCTGATAAGCGTTCACTTGTTCGCCGTTTTCGTCATAGCTATTATTGTGGGTAAGCAAGAAAAAAATTTATTAAAAAAAATTAGTTTTTCTGAGAAATCTTTTCGATCAATAAATACGAGTTGGCCTTTTAAGGAGAAAATATTCAGATACATACCATATTGTTAATTTATTTTTGAGGGCTGTTTTTGCTATCGTCAGTTATATGGTTGGAATATTTGTTTTTTCATCAATTATAGGTAATTTTTCGAATAAAATACTTCTGATATTTATTTCTATTCTATTAGGACAAGTTGGCAATGTTATTACGAATCGTAATGCTAGTCGTTTAGAATTTGAACGTTTATTGGTTAGAATTTAATAAATGAAAAGAATTTCTCAAATATAATTTTTATATAGGATAGTGCAAAACAATATATGCGTTCACATAATGTACCAACTGAAATGCAACGACGTGTTCAACGTTGGTATGATTATTCTTGGTCACGTGGTCGAATGTCTGGTGCTGGTGATGTTCATTCAATAAAACTTTTACCAGATAAACTTAAAACAGAATTAGCTCTTCATGTCAATTTAGGAACCTTGAAAAAGGTATTTTTTTTCTTAGTTGAGCATTATAATGAACTATTGAGTCTGGAATAAAATTGTTCCAAGACATTTTTTGCTCTTTATCAAGATATTACTTTTGTCACAGTGACTTTGTTAAGTTCGGAATATCTGGTTTACAGTTCATTTCTAATGAATAACTAATGTCGACGGCAGAAATAGAAACGGAAAACTCTAAGATGAATAATATCTCGAGAACGGAAGTAGATAAAGACCAGCAATTTTCACCACTGAAAAAGGGAGATGTCGGGGACATCGATGGGTATAAAATTCATTAGGTTCGGAGAGTTTTTTCATCGGTGCTTTTGGACTGATATTTTTTGTCGTTGACTTTTTTCATCACTTTTCAGAAGAATTTCAACACCAACTTTACCGAAATGTAGTTCCAAACACCCTGTTCTTGGTAAAAATTTCCCTAATTTTTTATTATCTTTTCAACTTTTTCCTTCAATGAGGGTTTTAAAGAACATGATAATTTTTATAGGAATATATGGCGTTTGGAGGTACATTTTGGTAAAATTAGTGTTGAAATTCTTCTGAAAAATGATGAAAAAAGTCAACGAAAAAAATATCAGTCCAAAAGCATCCGTGACAGAACTCTCTGAACCTTATGAATCTTATACTGATCGATGCTCCAGACATCGTTCTTTTCAATGGTGAAAATCGCACATCTCTAACTACCTCCGTTCTAGAGATATTCGTTCTGGAGTTTTCCTTTTCTATTTCTGGCGTCGACCGTAGTTAAAGTTTCTATGACATATTAATAATAGAGTACTTTGCCAGATAAATTGCTAGAAATTATGTTTACGCATTGTTACTCTGAGTTGATTATTTCTAGTACACCAATAATGAAGAATAGATGTCGCCATGCACCATTAATGCTGCACAAAACATATAGCACTTGCAAAAAGTTTTGTGACACTCGAAAACAGCTCCTCTATACTTTATGTTTAAGTTGACTCTGAATGTTAGTATATATTTAGCATTATTATTTGGTAAGCTTTCATATTTTATTGAACGAATGAATCATGACCATTTGATACCAGCAAAATAGTCTCAAAAATAAAATATCTAGGAACAAAAGTTCGCTGGGAAAATGCTAGTGATCAATAGAAAGCTGTTAAAAAAACACTGTGAAAGATGAGAAATTATCTCCTTTCTTTTTTTTTATCTTGAAGAACCGGAAAAAAATGGCAAAACAGCACATTTTCAGACTCTCTAATATATCAAACAATGTACTACAAGCTAGAACAAAATAGAAATCTAAAATTTGGAAGTATTCTAGCTATTTTTTACATGAAAAAAGACAATATGATAGACTTTTCTCTTTCGCTATGGTTTAGCGCATGTATTTGGTATGATAGAGAGTCAGAAAATGTGTAGTTTTGTCGAATTTATTTTGCTATTCAAGATGAGCAACAAAAGGAGAGAACTTCTCATCTTTCACAGTAGCTTTCTAACAGCTTTCTTTTTAGCATCTGTATCCTCCAACGAAAAATTTCTACCTCCTGTAAACTCCAAAACAAAAACAAACTTGCAATAGTCAATTTGTGTAAGCTTTTTCCATTGATACTATTTGCAATCGAAATTTCAGAACTTTTGACTGCTACCTATTTTATGTTTGATATTGTTCAGACGGAATGAAATGGCAATGATTCATCATTCACTAAAATATAAAAGCTTTCCCAATAACAATGTCAAATACACATAGGTGGTGGAGTCACAAGGTTTGGGCAGATCAAAGCCTATCCATAAATTCAGGCTTCATTGACTAGAGTAGACTCAAATACTCTTTCTTCTTCTATCAGATTGCTAGATTTGAGTATCACATCACACTTTTCGTACCAACATCAATATATATTGCCGTTTCTGACGGCTAATAATAGTACTTTCTTAATCCAGCAAATTTAGAAAACGTTTTTGACGAATGATTGAGTTTCGTATAAGTAACTATTGAATTATATATCGGTAATGACTTGAAGCAGGAAGTCTTCATTACAACTGAAGAAGAATTGGACGAAAAATATGAGTCAAATTTACTAGAATCGGTCAAAATTTTCCTTCGCTTTCGACGATTCACGTTACTTGCCTATTAAACATTTTCAACAGTGAAGGAGACCACAATGCAAAATCTTTTTTTCTGAAATATTTTTAATTCACCATTAAACTTGTTTCCAGTCGAGTAGATCAGAAACTATTCTTTCGAAGATTACATTTTAATGAACATAAACGTTCGCATATTCCTTTTATGCAAGTGGCAAGTTGTTTTCCTGATCTCCATCACTGTTACACATAGCGAAATGTAACTTTGATGAGAGAGACGATACTTGTATTTCATCTAAGTGTAGAATTAAAAAACTCCATCTTCTCTCATTTTTAACTTCCAAATAGAGGTCTTATAAAAAATGTTGAGTCTTTCATCGATTCAAAACTTTCCGCCGACTATGTAAACATATGCTTACATTCAGAGTCTACTTAAACAGAAAGTTTTGAAGAACTATTGCCAAGTGTCGCAGAACTTTAAATAATAATGTATCTTTTTCTTGTCAAAAGGTAACTATATTTCAAGAATGTCAACCTGAATTTTTACATGATCTTGTTTTAAAAATGCGTGCATATATATTTACACCAGGCGATATTATATGTCGTAAAGGTGAAGTAGCACGTGAAATGTTCATTATAGCTGATGGTGTTCTTGAAGTAGTCAAGTAAGTCTAATATGAGATTAATAAATTTTTGTTTTGTAAATTAAAATTATTTGAAGTGAGAAAAATGATGTTCTAACACGTTTGGGTGCAGGTGATTTTTTTGGCGAAATTGGAATTTTAAATATTGATGGTGCTAATCGACGTACAGCTGATGTACGAAGTGTTGGTTATTCTGAATTATTTTCTTTATCAAAAGAAGATGTTTTGGAAGGTTGTCGAGATTATCCCGAAGCTGAACGTACATTATATGAATATGCTCAAAATCGTCTTGGTTTTGAAAAAGCCAAAAATGAAGCATCAGAAAAAATGAAAGGTGCGTTAGATACCTTAACATCAATTGCATCATGTTTAACAAATAATTCAATGGCAGTAGTACCAGCATCCTCAAATATATTACCTATACAAGAAACAAATGAACAAAATTTAGTTAATCCTAATCTAGAAAATGAAAATCGAATTGAACAAATACCATCGTGTTGTAATCATCGAACAACGTCATCAATAGATCATGCGAGGTAAAAATAAATTAACTTGAAATTTAAAAAAATATTTTAATTTAGATTAATATCAAAACTTTCAATTCCTAATTTACAAAATTTTGACTGTGATAATGAAGACGAACCTCTACTTCATCCAAATTCATCATCAAAATATTTTTCATTAGCTCAATCATTCTATTCATGTTCAAATGAATTGATGAGTGATATTGGATTATTAATTCATGATAAAATGGTTGGAAGATATTAATGATTTAGATTTTTTCTGATATTTTATATTTTACTTATTTTTAGCTTTCAATTGAACAATCTTATCGACAACAGATTGCAGAATTACAAGAACAAAATGAACGTAAAGATATACGAATGAAATTATTGGAACAAAAATTACAAAAATTACAGGTTTATTTATTTTTCTTTCATAAGCATCGAAAAAGAAATTTATTTCATATTTAGAAAGCATTATTCAATCGAAATCGAATATGGCTTGAAGATGAATGAAGAATTTCATCCATACATATATTCAAATCATTGCAACTCGGGGATGTTTATTTCTTATTGTTACCTTTGTTCAAAATATCTTGATATATTCATTCAATAAAAATCAATATTTGCATTAAATCAATATGTGGCTAGAAACGTCTTTAGCTCATTAATCCAAAATTCAAGTTGTCTTCAGATAGATTATTATTTATTTTTTATGACATTGACTAGTTAGTCTACATACAATTTTTTTTGTATGCATTTTAAATTTCTACAATAATTATATTCTCATTATGTGAAAAAAGATAAGAAGTTTAGAAAGGCGAGAAAACTGTGTTGTTTCAATAAAGAGTTTTGGTTTCATTACTATAAGTCTCTAATTCACTAAGTGACTTCTTATAGGAAGATAATATGACATTTTCAAGTATCTATCGCAACATGATCTAAAGAACCTACAGTGAACGTAACTACAATAATTGAACATTCAAAAAGATTAGACCAAAGAGATCAGACAGAACGCATATCAGACGTGTTTTTTTCTGAAAATTCAATAAAACACTTTGTTATTGGAAGATAATAATTAATATTTTCATCTTCTTTGACTGAATAACATCATGGCTAATAATAGATTGTGACTAAATAGTTCATGATTCATTTATTTATTTTGTTTGTCTATTTCTTTACCTAAATTAATATTTACATTTTTTCAATTCGATTATCATCATTTTCTAATCAGAATTTTTGACTAATTCTTATTCTTTCCTAATCCAAATTTATATTTTCATAATATCACAAAACTTCATATATATTCCTTTCAAATAGTTCATCACATTCATTCAAAACGTTCTAATTCAATAAGATGTATTTTTTTCTGAATATTAATGTTTTCTTTATTGTCTATTCTCGATAGATACATACTGTGTAGAATTGATAAATATTTCACATTAGTCATTTCTTTTCAGTACGCATGATTGTCATGCCTTCTAATCATGACAGTATTCTGATTCCATCCGATTATCATTATAATTTAAGTATCAAAGGAAATAAACAGATAGCGACAGATAAACATGCTTGTAGCTCTACTATAAACTATTTGTTCTTATGCCAATAATTCATTTTAAAATGTCATACAATGATATTATTTCTCACAAGATCTTTTTCTGATTGCCATTGATATTTATTTCCTAGAAATCTTTAAATACTACCTTAGCATTTACGACTTATTATATACAGAAAAGATCCAACCTAGACGACTTTTCGCATACCTGCTTATTTTTTTTTTAATGCCAATATGATGATAGCAATAGAATACGATTAACTATTATTCTTTATAAAAAGAAAAACTCCAACAAGTTACTGGAATCAATTCCAATGATTGCAGTAAAAACTCTCTAATATGAATATATCATGGGAATATTTAAAAGTGTTAACTATGCCAGAAGTGTTTCTGTCTTATATGTTCAAGATAACATATAAAAATAAGAGAAGAACAAAAAAACTTTCACTTTAGGAAGGTTTTTCTAGTTGGTGCAAATCAAAAGAAACGTTCACAATTCACGATAAGGAAATGTTCACTAAGGAACGATTGACGAGAATTTAGGATATTTATTACAACGAGATGTTCAATTTGTGGAGACATTTACAATGGAAGATTTCCCTGTAGACTAAATATCTATGAATTGAAATATGGTGATGTATAGGAAAATAGAAGAATGACAAGACAAGAATATTGAGAAAAAAAAATCTGGTTTTTATCCAAGACCATTCTGAATGAAACTGATAGATAAAAATGTCGCTCGTAGTATTACAATCAAGAGAAGAAGAGCAACCTTCAGTAACTGTTAAACTTACAAGAGAAAAAGATGATCGAAGATCAGCGGAATTAACTGATATGAGAAAAAGATGACAAGCAAGTAATTATAAACATGACAATGCGTGTCAATGGCCTTTTTAGAATGGTAATGAGTTTTATTGTTTATAAGTATCTTCTATATTCATTGTAAAATATTTATCTAATTCATCATGTTTAAATCATATAATTGAATATTAATTTCAACTGCATTCATTAGCTAACAATATATTCGATATGTGAGATAAAACTCTGATATAAAAGAAAAAATACACAGCTAATACAGCTTGTCATTTTCAGGTGCTTTAACTTGCTTGTTTAAGGTTCTCATATTCAACACCACAACTTCCAGATAATTCTACAGAAGATTACTTACCATTGTTTTTAAAACATCATCGTTGAACAAAACTTGTAATCATCAACGAGCGACATCTATCCACTATCAAATTTATATATCAGAAAGCTGTTATTATATTAATTTAAATTAAATTTATAAATAAAAATAAAGTCTTTTTAATTATACTTTTTGTTTTAATAAAATATTCCGTTTTTACCAATCATATAAAACGGCTTTGTTTGTCATATTCTCTCTGTTTGCTAAACGAATGCAAAAACATGTTTTTAGCTTTGTCTTCGCATTTCTTTCTTTCTGTTATTATTGTTTACTGAAGCAGTGTAGTCTGAAAGAACCGAATGAGAAGACGAAGAATAGAGAAAAAAAAGAAGACACAAAAGTCAGTCAGAAAGAAAGAAAATTATGCGTAGGCGTTGACGTCGTTCGCATCATCATTTGACGTTACTCTTCTCATTCCAATCAGAAACTTAAAATATTGCTTTTCCGCTTTATTATAATGACACGCTTTTACTTTTTTTTTTTAGAACTAGTCATGATTGATTGTTAACTAATAAAAACAAACAAAAATTTTTCAAAATGTTTAGTACATTCGCTGATGTATTTGGTTCGGATGAAAATGATACAAAAAAATTAAATGGTACAAAAAATCCATTCGATACATTATCAACAACAGTCGATCCATTCGGTATATCAAGTGATATGAAATTATCTGCATCTTCACAAAAATTTGATGATAGTCCATTTATAATTGAAACGAACAATGAACAATTTAATCGATCTCGTAGTGGAAAAGATGCATTATCATCATTAAATTGGAATGCATATCAAAATTCAACAACTGAATCAAATGTAGATCAATCAACAACATTTGATCCATTAGAAGATCCACAAGATAAAACAACAAGGTTATCTATTAATAATAATAATAATAATAATATAACACATTCAAAAAGTATAAATCTTATAAATCCATTTTCAATTCCAACCATTTCAAATCAAACATCAACAGCACCTATTCAAGCATCACCAATTGATCTTTTATTTGATATTAATATTGATCCAAGTACATTACCAACGATAAATTCAGATAATAATTCATTAATACATTCTGATCAAGTACAATCATCATACGATCTTCTTGGTCTTAATCAACAAACAAATCCATTACCATCAGTTAAACTTTTAAAAAGTGATAGTTTAACTGATATACCAAAAATAAATCAAACAAAAAAATCATCACCATCATCACTAATGGCTAAAACAAATATTCATACAGCATCATCATATCATTCATTACCAACAGATGCTCCACCAACATCACCAACTACATTACGTGTTCAAGCAACAGCATTAACAATAATGACAGGTACAACATCAACAACACCATATGATGATCAGTTTCTTGATTGGTTAACACAGTCTGATGATTTAATGTGTAGTATGGATCCAAAATTAAGTGGACAATCAAAAAAAATGGATATTAATATGTTAAAAAGTACTGAAGATCTTCTAGGAAGTATTTATAAACAATCATTACAAACATTAACAACTGTTCAAGAAGCATCACAAGAATCAGTTGGATCTCCACCTTTTACCAGTCCTATACAACTTACACGTCGTGCATCGAATGAAGAAGTTCCATCAATATGTATTCATGAACCAACAAGTGATCATAATGATAGCAATATTGTTCCACAAGGATATTTTGATAATAAAAAAGAAAAAGATAATGATTCTGATGATTCTGATAATTCAAAAATGGTTTTTAAAATTGGAGAAAAAAAACATACATCTATTCATGATAGAAATATACCTGTACCATTATTACCACCACCACCATCATCATCAACAACAACATCAAAAAAATATAAAGAAGCTAGTGATGATGCTAGTTCATCATCAACAGCAACAGATAATGAAGATGACAATGATCCATTAGCTATATTTCGTTCAAAATCTCAAAAAAAGAAAACAAATCAACAACCTGGTAAAAATCTTATTGCTGATTGGGATGAAGAGGAAAATACAAATAATAATCAAGAAAATGCGACGAAGATTAATCCCGAAGAAGATAGGGTATGCTTGATATTTGTGTATGTATATATGTTGTCGTCTTGTCTGTGTTACAATTATATTCGAGGTTGGTGTTGCTTAACACTTTTAAGTTTTTGTTTTTACATTTGATTTGTTTTATTTTAGCAACAGAAAGCCCAGCCAGTACCAGTAGATTATTATATACATGAACCAGATTCTGATGATAGCGCACCATTAGAGGCGTATCATAATGATATCAATGAATTGCAATTACAACAACTTAATGGATGGTTATTACAAATTCGTGTGCCATTAAGACAAAAAGATCTATATAAGAGCACTTTTCAAAGATTTAGTGAAACACGTAAGAAACATTGTATTATGCTTTATACTGAAAAAAAAAATTTTCTTTCAGGTAATTGGCAAGAATGTTATGTAAGAATATCATTTGATGAGAAAAAATTACGTTTTCACTTACCTCAAACTATTGAACAAACGTTTGCAGAAATTGAATTACAAACATGGTATCAATGTACAAAATTTAATCTTCAACAATATGATCAATATACTAAAATTCATACATTTAAAATATTTGAAGCTAATTATAGAGAAATTCCTCAAGTTCGTATTGATCGTCTTGTAACATTACCAGAAAAATTATTAAGAAAGTTTACTCGACCAAATAAAGCTCAACAAGTTTTACTTGATCATGCTAATTGTGTTCAACAAGAAATTGTTAAATTTGGTCAATTAAATTATACATATTTAAAACAATTTTCAATTATATTAGATGATTTATTTTGGTCAATGCCTGTTACACGTAGTCGTTTACAAAAACATTTGAAAGAAGAAGTTACTGTTAAAATCTTAGATGAATATTATGCACATATTGACAAATATCGTCATATATGTAAACATAAATCTCGTACACGTTTATTTATTTTAGCTTTTTTAAATGGTTATACACCAACTGTTGAAATAGGTATGAATGATTGGTTTCGTCATGGTAAAGAAGTTAATAAACGTAATGAAATAATTATTAATAAAACATTACAAGAATATTGGATTAAACCTGAACAAGTTGAATTAGCATCAATTATTGATGCTAATGAATATGAAAATACACATTTACTTAAATTAGTACCACCAGATAGTCAAAAAATTGAAATTATGCGTTTTCGTACAAGACCTAAACAAAATATTGAACTACCATTGCAGGTAAAACAAACAAAAAACCGATCTTTTTTTATTATCTTATTTTTGCATGGATAAAAACGAAATTTTTTTTAAAAATAGGTGTATTGTTTTATGTCGGTTATTGAACGTCAAGTAAATGTACGAATTGAAGTTATTGTATCAAATGCATTTAATATAAGTTTATTATCAAAAGCATCAGCAATGGCAACAAATGATAAAACAGCTAATATACGTGATGATAATAGTGACGATCAATGTCCATGTGAAAATATTCAAATACGTTTTCCAGTACCCGATCCATGGGTTTATATGTTTCGAGTTGAAAAACGTTTTCGTTATGGAGCTATACATAGTGTTCGTCGTAAAGCAGGAAAAATAAAGGTAATATATATAGATGTATATAGAGTTTATATTGCGTGTTAGAAAACAGGTTGGATTTATTGACATAGAACAAAGCAAACACAATCGTATACATGTGATTCGCTAGGGAATAAAATATTTCCTTATTTAAGTAACTATGAAATTTGATCAATAATAACTAATAAATATGCAAACGCAATAGAAAGGAAATAAATCAAGCATGCTTGTTTTTTTTTCTGACAAAGATATATATGAATTTGATATCTTATAAGATTGACAGTCTAGAGAAACGAATGAGAATATTTAATTTTCTAGAAAGTATCAATCTCAGAGAAATTTACGAGATTTCAAGAGAGTATCCCAGCTTTTCCGGAGTTTGTGAAGAAAAGATTCTTTGAAATATTTGAAATTTTCTGGTTAGATAGATCTCAATAAGTACAATAAAAGTCGTAATAGACTGCTCCCTTCTAGGAAATATGTCAGTTGGAAAAAGTAACAATCATCCTGCTTTCTCATACGGAATATATCGGATGGAGCTAAAAGTTTTCCTTTATAGATAGTAGACATTGTTTTGGAAGTCTTGGCTTATTTTTATCTCCTTCCATTCGAATATCAAGATGAAAATACTGAGTGTACCTGCAGAAACACACGGTTTTCTCGGAAAATCTATCAAAGAAACAAACAGGAAAGTTATATTTTTAAGAACAAAACAGTAGACATCTGAAACAGTACGCGGTACTTGTGAAACACGTTTCCGCTCTATTGCATATATTATGCTGAAGAAATGAGAGTCATTGTGTTAAAGTTGGTTTGAAAAAAAATAATATAGAAATTTTGCTGTATGCATCATGACTTTTTTTCTTCAACGAAAGTAGTTAAGAACGAGCGATGATAGACGCTCATATATTCAGCATCTTAGGAATAAACAATAAGCATTTTCATCAAGAGAATTTTGCATAGAACTAAATAATCGTAGGAGGATTTTTTCTGCTAGAGATTTTGAGAATTGACTGTAATAGAAGTACTAGCTAACAACTCATTTATATTACATTTGACAAAACACTTTGAAATTATATAGATTGTTATTTAAACATTTGAAGACAGGTGTTAGAGGTTAAATCTGACAAAAAAAAACTTTCTAACGGAATGGATGCCATCTTGTCTTTTTTTTTCACATGACGTAAAGACATACTGTCAATGTGCACAATTGGAATGCGTCATGATATGTGAGCAGATGGAGAGATTGATGAATTTCTCAATCTCTATTTCCTTTGTAACTAATAATGAATCGTAAAATATATATGAATATATTCTAGTCATGTAAAGGGTCAGATAGTACAAGTTTTTGAAACACTTCATGACAATAGTGTTTTACAACAGATCGAGATATATAAATTTGTCTATGAAGCTCTCAACGTTGCTTTGCTGTGAAATGGGAAAACTTGATTTTTTGAATGAATGATGAATGTAACAGTAATGGAATCTGATTTAATATTGAGATATTCTAATATTGTCTTCACTTATGTATGCATTAGAATTAAAGAGACATAGATATAAAGTTAATAACTCCGAACATATTTTTATCTATTACTGTATAAGATAAAATTATTTTAAAATTTATCATCTTCACAATATCTTCAGAAATAAATGTGTGAAAAAGTGGTTCGTTTTCAGGAAAATTTTGCTAATAATTAACAAAATTTAAGCGGATTGATACGCGATTTTGTTTGCTGAATATTGATATATGAAATGATAAGTATGTGAATAGTGTTTTGCACTGTAGAGCCGAAGTTCATCTATCTGAGGCACATTTCAAATTTACATCGAAAAGGAAATTTTTTTTTTGTCGGAATTTTTCAATATTTTTAAGAAGATGATGGATTTTAAAATAATTTTCTCTTGTTTAGTATCAGACAAAAAAAAAATGTCCAGTTTTCATTCTTTGATTGCTGAAATCGTAGATCCACTAGCTATTGAGCTTAGACCTTTCACTTGTTAATTCTAGCGCAAAACATTAACCCTAACTATTGTCAAACTATTGATATAATCAATATAGTAACAAAAAAAAGGCTCTTATATGTTAAACGGTAAACTGATGATCAAGACTGACTTTCCAATGAAAAAAAGTGAGATTTCAGTAAGATGAAGTGCCGTACTTCACTTGTACTTCGGAATATTGACATCTCGCTTTTTTCCCCTTAGGGTTTTTCATAACTGATTTATGCCATCATTAGGATTAATTCGGATTGATCGAATTTCTTATTTCAGTACATAATAAAGAAAACTAATGACTCTATTTACTGATATTCTTATTATCGATTTCTATTCGAAAGGTTAAAAAAATTTAATTTTTAACATAAATTTTCGAAATCAAATTCTATGTTCAAAGTTAATGACTTTTTTCTTTTTGTTCGATAAGAACGGAAATAAAATATCCGTTTTTTGATTATGATTTTCTTTTTAAATATATCTAATCTCCGTAGGGTCTTGATCGTTTTATGCTTCATCGTGGTGATCCACTGGTTGCATTAATGGCAGCTTCAGTTGGTGTAGCAAAATATGAACAAGCATTTCGTTCAATTGTTTGGCGTATAGATCAATTACCAAAACGCGATCAAGGTGCTTATAAAACGCATGTATTCGAATGTAAATTATCAGTACCATCATATGATCCAATGCCAGAAAAATTTGAACCGACAGCTGATGTTGAATATTCAATGTCACAAGCATTTATTTCACATTGTCAAGTAAATAAAAAGATTATTATTTAGTGTAATTTTATTATAATTCTTTATTATTCTCGATTTTTCTAGATTCGTTCCGTTGCTGTACCAGAAGCTGAAGAAACACCAGAAAAATGGATACGTCCAAAAAGTCATTTTAGTTATACAATTGACATCGAATATGCATTTAAAGAAGAAGAAAAAAAAGAATTTGCACCTGTTGAAATTGATATGAAAGAACAATCAATGTCACAGAGTGAAACAGAAAATAATTCACATTCCGATGAGAGTGATTGAAAATATCACAATGCCTTCTATTTAATTATATGCAAAACAGAAAAAAAAAGAACAAATTCGTGCAATTATCTTAGAATAAATCATATACTAAGTTTCTTTTTTTTTTGCAATGTCTATATTAACTTATGTTTCTATGCAAAATATCACGTTCTTTTTTTTTTTCTCCTGTCGTTAGACATTCTTTACTTTTTCTGTTTATGTACCCAGTTTTTTTCCTTCCGTTTGATTTTCGTGTGATATTTCTCTCTTTCTTTTTATTTATACCTGCTTATTGTATTTGTATTTTTTAGAGAGCCTACATCATTTTTACTGTTCACCACTGTTTTGTGCATGTTTAGTACAAAAAAACAAAATTTCATCCCTACATTTTAATTTTAGATAGAAAAAAAAAAGAAAATCAAGAAAAAATGACAGTTAATGGCAATACACGTTCAATGCGACAACATGTTCAACGTTCACTTGGCGATGATTTTGTTGAACCACCAGCTTCAGTTATGTCAGCAATGCCAAATGATGATGATGATGATGATGAAGGAGAAGAATTTCAACCTAAAGCTGGATCGCGAGGACGCCCAACAACAACAACAACAGCAGCAACAACAACACCAATACCAGCACGTGGACGTGGACGACCATCACGAACAGGACGGAAAACAAGTGCAACGGTTACTCAACCTGATGAAGATTCAATGGAAACAGGTTCAGTAACAATGCCAACAGGAAATAATACAACATATGTTGGTGGTCAACAATCAGAAGAAAAAGGATATTTTCATCATTTACTTGCTGGAAAAACGAATATACAAGTATTAGTTGATCAATGGATTGATTCATATCAAGCTAATCGTGATGAAGCATTAATTGAATTAATGCAATTCTTTTTGGATAGTAGTGGTTGTAAAGGAAAATTAACACAAACAATGTATTTAAAAATGGAACATGTCGATATGTTACGTGCTATGACCGAACATTTCGATGAGGTAAAATATTGTCAAACGTTCTAATTATAGTATGATGGAGCATAACAAATTTAGAAATATATTTGAGTTTACTAGTCGAAAATATTGATAGATCGATTCGATGTTATGTATAGGTAGATCAATCAAAATTGAAAGATTATTTCAGAGATCTTTATAGACGTAAAAAATGGACGTTCAGTCGAGTCGTACTTGGACAATCAATTAAATTTTCTAATCACAATTGAATAGTCACACCGAAGACACGAGATTTTTTCGTACGTTTTTTTTGCATTGAGTGATTAGTACATCGTACATATTTTCCAAACGATTGGGCAGGTTGGGGGCGAAATTTTGGGACCTGAAAATCGTTTACGCAAGCTTTTCAGGCTCAACCGGGTTCGAAACCGATACGATGGGTTCTGATTTACAGTCCCCTATAGCATATTTACTTATATATAATTACTATACGCAAAGGTTGCGTGATTATTGCTTGTTCATACATGATAGATGAATAATCTTTCTGTTTTTAGGATACATCAGAATATCCAATAATAATGTCTGGTTTACAATATAAAAAATTTCGTTCATCATTCAGTGAATTTGTTGTATTATTAATTAAGCAAGCATCTTATTCGATTATCTATGATCAATATATGATTGATAATCTTGTTACATTATTAACTGCTTTGTCTGATTCACCTGTTCGTGCTTTTCGTCATACTGGTACATTAGCTGGTAGGAAGAATTTTTTTTTTTGGATTTTTTTAGAATAAAATTATTTTGAATTTCTTTTCTGTAGTTTTAAAAGTCATGACAGCTCTTGTTGATATTGCATTAACAATAAGTATACAGAAAGATCAATGTCAACGACAATATGAAGCTGAAAGACAAAAATCAAGTGCACGACGTGCTGCTGATCGACTTGATACATTAACAGCTAAAAGAAAAGAGGTTTGATTTAATAATTAATCAAATTTTAATAAGTTCATTAGTGATTTTATTTTAGCTTGAAGGAAATGAGAATGAAATAAAAAGTTTTATGAATTTTATATTCAAAGGTGTTTTTATTCATCGTTATCGGTATGAATTCAATATGATTAAATTTTGATATATATTTTGATATTATTATAGAGATATTGTACCTGATATTCGATGTTTATGTATGAGTGAACTTGGTGAATGGATGAAAAGTTATCCGATGGTTTTTCTTGATGATATTTATCTTAAATATATTGGTTGGACATTATATGATAAAGTAAATAATAAAATTGAATTTTTTATTTTTTGTATTTTTTGTTTTGATTTTATCTAAAAATCGAATTTTAGGTTGGTGATTGTCGTTTACGTTGTCTACTTGCATTAATACCATTATTTCAAACAACTGATCTTGTTGGTAAACTTGAATTATTTACAAATCGATTTAAAGTAAAGCGCTTCTTTAAAAAAAATAATTGCAAATATAGATTCCATATTTTTCATAGGATCGTATTGTACAAATGACCGTTGATTGTGAATATGAAGTAGCTGTACAAGCAATTAAACTTTTAACTGCTATATTAAAGTATAGAAACGAAAGATTTGTGATTATTTTTAATTGTTCTTGTTGTTTTTTTTATTAGATTTAATGAACGTATACTTGAAGATAAAGATTGTGAAAATATCTATGAACTTGTTTATCATTCACATCGACAAGTTTCACAAGCAGCTGGTGAATTTCTTAATCAAAAATTATTTCATAAAGCTGAACAACCATCAAATTCATCGAAAAAGCGTAGTCAAAATACAGCTTTTATACATTTACTTGTTCAATTTTTTATTGAAAGCGAGGTAAATAATCATAAATATTAATTACAATCATCCTATCGGGCATTTCCAACAATGCATGAGTTATTTCATATGAGTGTATCTACACAGCAACATATAAAGATATGATTGTTTCATAAAGTGAATGCCTAATGTGAAGTCAATCAATTGATTTAAATGAATACAGAACAAAAAAAGAACTCATCCTTCTATTTATTGAATCTATATTTAAGTTAAAACTAATGATGAGTGGAACCAATTGTTTTTGGTTCTAATCTCAGTCAGGAAAAATTCTTAGGTCTGGTTTCGCACTTATTAATATATGTTGTAGCAAAAAATGATATATGATTTTCAAACAGTGTCAATAAGCTCAAGACATCTTGCATGATCTCTAATATCTTTCTTCTTGGAAGTTTATTACCGTTTTTTTGATTCACTAATGCTTGTTCTATTCTACATGTTTATGTATTCAATGACTCTGTTGTCTACGAAAGAAAAAGGATTAATTGTAACAGAAAATATTGAAATGATCGTTACTCAATAATTTTCGTACAAACTTTTACAACACATGAGTGATGAGAATGTGATTTTTGACACAACCGTAAAAGATATCACTCCGAATGAAGAGGTGTTGGTGCCGCGTCCGCTGGACTTGTGACAGTTTCGCCTATGTCTAATTAAAACTAAACCTTCCAGTTCATGAATAGTGTCTGCATACTAATTGTGTTCTTGCTATTGTTTACAAGGGCTTGAACAAAGTCATTATAAAGTTTCATGTTTTATTATATCAAAACAAAATTAACTTTAAAGAAAGATTTATAAAAATATTATAATTGTCTCTGATACATTCACTCCTTTATAGGAATCTTTTATTCGTATATATTGTGTAGAAGATCTTAATTTTCCAATTAAAAGATTTGATTTAATCATAATAAATATAAATAATGGAATGAGAAACGTTTTTTTTTTCCTATCTAAATAATAAAATATTCGTATTTCTAATGAAAAATAAAATGCTTTTGTGGAAAATTAATTAAGCCTATTCTTTTTAATTTTTAGCTTCATGAACATGCTACATACTTAGTTGATTCTATGTGGGATCAACATCCAATGATGAAAGATTGGGAATGTATGACTGATATATTACTTGAAGCACCAGATCAAGAAGAAGATCGTAAGTTTTTAATATAGAACAAAGTGAAGATAACTAAATATTATTTAATGGATGTTTAGCACTTGATGATCAACATGAAAATTGTTTAATTGAAATAATGGTTTGTTGTGTACGTGAAGCAGCTACTGGCGAATATCCAATTGGTCGTGGTCAACCTAATCGAAAAGTAAATTTTAAAAATACTAATCGTTTTTATCAAATGATTTTGTCTTTTGTAGTTAACAATGAAAGAACAAAAACAAAAAGAAGATGATAAAAAAGTTTTAACTGATCATTTTATTGGTACTTTACCACCATTACTTAATAAAGTAAAGCTAGGTTTTTTTTTTGTATTAATATTTTTTTTTATCGTTTGAAATTTTTAGTATATTGCTGATGCTGATAAATTACTTAATTTATTACAAATTCCACTTCATTTTAATTATGAAGTTTATACAACAACACGACGTGAACGTGATCTTGATGCTTACTTAAATGCATTAAGTGATATTGTACAACGACATACAACAGCTGAAGTTTGTTGAAATATTGTTTTGGTTTTGATTCTTTTTTTTTTGTTAATCTTTTTCTCTAATTAGATTTTTGATGCTGTTTCAAAATGTTTTGAATGTGTTTGTGATGTTAGTTTTACATTATCAAATCGAGCTATTGCACATCGTGGTAATATTATTGATAAAATTTTGGCAAATTTTAATGCTGCAATGGGTATTTTTGAAGAAATGGTATGATGATTGAATTTTATTTTTTAGAATTTACTGTTTTTTTTTCTTCTTTTGTTTTAATTAGGATGAAGCTGATGAAGATGATTTATATCCATTGTTACTTAATTTAAGAAAATTAGATGCATTTCATCAGTATAAATATTAATTTAATTAAATGATAAATTATTCTTTTTTTTTTTACTTTATAGATGTCATGATTTGGGTAATACGGATTTATGGGATAAGATACATTTATTATTTAAAGCAGCTATTGATAATGAAGATATGTCACCAGAGGTTTATATAAATTTAAATGATTTGCTTTTATTTCTTAAAATAATTATTTTTTCTATTTATTAGATT